TCCGTTGTTTCTACCTCAGCTCCTCCCAGCACACAGGTTTGGCTTCTGAAGGCCTGTCTGGCTCCACTCAGGACAAGAGCAGACCTGACAGGTGTTCGCTTGCCGTGTTCGTGACGCATACGTAGTCGTACACGTGGGTTCGTCTGCTGCAGTAATCATCTCTGGCCCTCAACCCTTATCCTGACTTCCTCTGCCTGTCTGGATCAATCCTCCTCCTCCCTGTAATTGGCTGTCTTGTTATCGAACACTTTCTGTCACGCTCTCGCGCTTCCTCGTTCCCCGTCTCCTCGCCGTTCCTCTACGTTTCACCTGCTTTCATGCGATGAATGGGACGGCCCTCCTGCGAGGCTGCTGGCACCAGGTCAGCCTGCGGTGATTGGTTAATCCTGCGAGGAAATGTGGGTCACTAGTGTCTATTTTTAGTCGCACCGGCAGAGGGGAAGCCCAGGTACAGTAGTCCGGATCAGTGAAACTTTAAAGATACCGGACTCATGAGGCCAGACTGACATTAGTGACACTTCAGCTGCATGTATTTATGTATTCATATCAGAATGATTGTGATTATTTGCTTCTTTTTAATCAATGAAACCGAAAAGAAAAGCGAGAAAAGTCCATCACAGCAGCTCTTTTGTGTGTGGACGGTTTGCGGTGATGGAGTTCTTGATGGAGTCCTTAAGCGGTGTGTGATTCAGCGCTTCGAGGGCTGATGAGTGCATCCCGGCGGCCACGAGGCATGTGAAGCCGTGATTCATGTCTCCCCCGGGTGTTGTCGAGGTACGCTGTGGTCAGAGAGGCGCTCTTCCTTACACCTAATGCCTATTGATTTCCTTTCTCTCCACACACACACACAGAGCGGTCAGACAGGATTAAGACTTAAGAATCTGTCAACAGTTAAACAGGAAACATACACGGCGCTCCCCTCCACTATATTTACTCATTTAGACTCTGAAACGTAAATGTTGGGTTGAACAAACACCTGCTGAGTAACTGCTCAGGTATGCTCGACGCGAGTCCTTGACGGTTTGAGAATCTCCACGCAGCCGCACTTATCTCCGCTAATACAAAAAGAAAATAATGAGGCTGTGCTCGCCTTCGTTCTGTGGATGGGATAATTGCTTCATGTGAATAAAAAGCCTGTTGCATGAGTCTCGGTGGAGCGGCTGAGGGCTCTCCAGTCTGCCTCCCTCATTATTAATAAAGTGGCTTTCGCTGTTTTGCTCCACAAACAATCTCCACTCCAATTGACTGGACTGAAGCATGTATTATTTATGTTTGTGTGCGTTGCATTGTGAGCTTTGCATCGGGTTCTGTCAGCACACAATTAATCTCCTTTAACTCGTTAATAGAGTAGCTAGCATCACGCTTGTTGCAGCTTTTAGTAGCTGCTGAAGGAAAACAGAATGTTTTTTAGTTTTTGTTGGAGGAAAAATCATTTGAATTTCAGTTTGTTGTATTTTATTGTCTTAACCCTTGAAGCCCAAGCAGTTGTGGGTGTTTTTTTTCTTTTCTTTTGCTCCTTTTACTCATTTTTCAGCTCATTTTTCACTGCGATGTAAAGTCGTGCACCGAGACTAGAAGTAGAGCGAACTCACAAATGTCTTGGACTGTGTTATTATTCCATAAATCATGAAGAAGGGATTATTCATTTTATTTAAAAAGCAAAACTTTAATCAATGTGCAGGGGTTTCTCTATGGACTATAGGTAGCTCGGTGTTTTTTTTTAAATATTTTTACAGTCTCCTGCGGACCAGTAATTTTATTTTCCTAATCCTTCCCATATTTGTCTCCTCTCTGCTCTCTCTAAACACATCCTGCAGTTTAAATTTTTAAAAAAGTCTGAATTTTTGCAACCTGACTGTTGGTCACAGCTTCTCATTTGAAATATTTCAGACGAATCGTTCAAGGACAGTTCAAGGAAATTTTTAAAAATGTTTTCTGGCAGATAAATGGTGCCATTTTGATGTTGTTTTTAATTTTTATTTTCTATTATAACTGCCTCTTTATCCTAACCTGTGGGTAATTGAGTCAGGAGGATTAACTGCCTGTTTTCGGTTGAATTTCTTTCCTGACATGTAGACCCTTTGCCCCTCTAGTGTCAGGTTGCCCAGAGAGATGTGGTAATATCTTTACTGTTCAGCCCTTTGAACCCAACTCATGTATTCCTGTGTGTGGTTCAGCACTCATAGGATCTATTAATAACTTAATTTAGTGCTGCACAAATCAGACATTAGAGGATAAAACAAACAAAATGGGCAAAACAGCAAAATAAAACCACTGCAATGCAAAAGATAAAATCAAGCAGAGCAACACAGTAAAATATATTATGAGGAAATTGGTAAAATAGTGACAATACAACCAATTAAAAGAAGATATAACGGTTGTAGTGATGTTCTGAAAGAAGCCCAAGAGCCTCTTTCAGGGAAAAGCTCAGGGACGTGAAGAGCAAACGGCCGAACCCCGACGGGCCGCTCGTGATGTTTGGCTCTGCAAAGCAATGCAGACGGTGACACGAGTATTTACAACCACGCCGTCGTGTCAGAGGTCAAACGAACCTGAGACAGCTTTCAGTGCTGGAGCTCATCAAACAGACCGGCGGTGAAAAACGACACCAACGGCGAACACGTCACCTCCTGTGAATGATGGCGGTGCTATAAATAGAACGTGTTTCATCAGTTTAAAGGCTCGTTACATGTTGTCTTTATGGATTATCATTTAATGATCAGCTAGTGAAATGCAAACCGATTTGTCTCAGCGGCTTCTTTCTATGAGAGAGATTTCTGTATTTGTGTTTTCCTCTGGTTTGAAGTGGGAAGAGGAAGGTTATGTCACAAACCGATCAGATGTTCTTCATCAAATCTGATCATCAGCCTACGCCCACACAGTCCACATGAAGCAAACATGATGAATGAATAAAGGATGTTTTGTTCAAAGCTGGCCATGAATGTTTCTCTGGAGCTTTAAAGAAACAAAAACTGACCACATCTCCCTTCACTTGTATTTACATCAAGAAACAACCGTTAGCTCATGTTAGCATCGTCAAACACGTTGAATGGATGCAGAGTCATGTTGTCTTCACTTCACTTTTCTTTCCTTCTCTCTGCTCACGTCAATAAATAACATTTAAAAAGTGTGAAGACGGCCAATAGTTTCAAAAGGAGGGACTCACTCAGACCGGCTACCAAAATCCAACACACTCAGGTGTTTGCTGTTATATTATTACTGTGTTTGTGTTCAAATTCTTGCAGATTGCACCTTAAAGTGTAAATATAAGGTAATCCTTTGGAAGAGCAAATGCATTATTATCAGCAAACTATCCTGATATGGAGGAAATATACTTTTTCATCTCATTCTCTTAATGCACAACTAATATTATGTATAGTAGTGAAACAATCTATTATTAGTATGTGAGTGCAGCATCTTTCAGAGACAACCTGAGCATACTGCTGCCTGCCTGGGTCCTCCTATTGTTCTGCTTCATGTGCTTTAACCCTGAGGCCAGTGGGATATTCTCTGTCCCAGTGCACCATCCTCCTCCTCCTCCTCCTCCTCCTCCTGCTCCTGCTGCACCTCCCAACCCCCTCAGTCTAAAGTGTTCATAATGCATCTCCTGCACGATCCCCCTCTCTGCTAGCGTGGGGCAAATGTTATTGATACGATCCTCAAAATAGGACTACATATCGCAGTTTAGTAACAGAATTTTCGACTGATGGAAGAAGAAAATAAAAGCTGTGATTGGATGTTCTTGTAGCTGATGGCAGTTCATTATCTGCCCCCTCCTGTTTTTTTTTTTTCTTTTTGCTGGCGAGGGTAGCTCTCAGCCGCTCACAGTCGGCAGCCTGTTATGACTACCATGTAAAGAGTCCTTATCTTTGTTGTTCTAACAGCTCTGCTTCGACACCGCTGACCTTCATTATCTGCGGATGCAGTCGGACCGAGACGTCAGCGAATAGCCCCGTTGGCAGCTCGCTTTGTTTACTTTCTCCACATCCCATTTTGTATTTGTTTCTGTCTCACATGCGTGACGATAACCTCCCATTCAGCTGACGTTTCACTCAGAAGCAGAGCGTTACTGAGATTATTTGTCTTTAGTTAAACAGGAGTACCCCTGAGAGAAAAAACAAGCTTAAAGGGAGATTTTAGGAAAATATCTAATTGCAATTTCTGGCAAATTATGAGATTACAATTTGATTTGAAATATATTTTTATAAGTCCTGCTTCAATTTAATATTCATTCATTCATAGATTAAAAGATGTGATGGAGCGTTTGCACGACACACCATCAAAAGAGTGACTGTCACACAAGTAGGAATGAAAATAAAACACTGAGACGACAAAGTGAACTCTGAGTCTGATGCCATTTAAAATAAACGAGCTGTGGCTTTTAAATAATGACGCTGGGCTCATGTGAGTCGAGCCAAAGCTGCAGCCTGAATGGACAAACACTAACAGCTCCTAAAAGTCTTCATCTGCCTAAATTACATATAATTGTTATTATTTAGTAGCAGCACAGTGTATATTATAAACCGCTGCTTTTTGCTTGATAGTTTAACTTTTTTAACTTAAATCAATTATTGATTAACCCCTAGTGGAAGATATGTGCACGGCAGATCTGAAATGACACAAAACTAATAAAGTGTTTTTGATTTACGTCTTGAAGGTTGGAGTCCAAATAAAACTGTGAATGTGGGTGTTTTGTGTATTTATTGTTCTGATAAGGCAGCAAATAGTTCACACCAGAAACGTAGTAGACATGCACAGAAAGAGGCCACAGAAAGTGTTCTTAATTTATTACCCTGTTACATCTGATGGAAAATATTTCCAATAAAAGAGCTGTTTCTGTTTTATGAAAGACCTCCACATGGACTCTGCTGGTTCAGTCCTTCTCAGGAGTCTCTTCTCTCTGCTCAGAGCTGAAATAAGACACTGGGATGTTTAATCAGTTTTGCAGCTTGGTGATGATCAAGAAGCGAGTTAATGATAAGATATCCTTGTATTCTCAGGATGACAACTGGGGCGAGACCACCACAGCCGTCACAGGCACGTCGGAGCACAGCCTCTCTCAGGAGGACATCGTCCGCATCACCAAGGACCTGGAGGACAGCGTGGGGCTCGACTGCCGCCGCTACTTCACCCGGACGCTGGCTGTGATCCTGGGCTTGCTGGTGTTCCTCACGCCGCTGGCCTTCCTGGTGCTCCCCCACCTCCTCTGGCCGGAGAAGCTGCAGAGCTGCGGGACGGCCTGCGAAGGCCTCTTCATCTCCGTGGCCTTCAAGCTGCTCATACTGCTGCTGGCCGTCTGGGCGCTCTTCTTCAGGCCGGCGCGGGCTGGCCTCCCGCGGGTCTTTGTGTTCCGGGCGTTGCTCGCCGTGCTGGTGCTGCTTTTTGTGGTCTCCTATTGGCTCTTCTATGGAGTCAGGATACTGGACTCACAGGTGAGCTGAGGGCAGGTCACAGGGGGTGGAAACATAACAGCTATCACTGCTTATATTGTTGGTGTCTAAGAATATAACTGGAAATTCAAGTGAGTCCACACACAGAGAAAAACAAAGATTTCCAGCAGCTCGAGTGGGAGAGGTCTCATATATTGCAGACACATTAATATTTAATGCCCTCAGGAGCTCAACGAAATCGCAGACAAGCAAAACACAGCTATTTGGTTTCCCCAGTGATGTGTGTTTACTGTGAGTCATAATTTAACATCCCGGTTGGTCCCTCTCTCAGAACGCGTGTGGAAAACTCACACAAACAGAGGGTTTTTTTTAAAACCCTCTGTTGCAAGCTTTTTAGCTTGCAATCCTTTGAAAAGTCTCTAAATATTCATATGCTCTACATCTAGTCCTACATGTGTATGATCTCAAGTTCTGTCCCTGCAGGGGTGTTTTATGCTTATTATTTGCTTGACATTCTGTTAGCACACATTTGTACATAGTGCATGCTGTGCATACACTCAGCTAACAGGTTGTGAATGACCCTTTACAACATCCCTGTGGACAGGATGAGAACTACCAGGGCATCGTGCAGTACGCCGTCTCGCTGGTGGACGCCCTGCTCTTCATCCACTACCTGGCCATCGTCCTGCTGGAGCTCCGGCAGCTTCAGCCGTGCTTCTCCGTGTGCGTCACGCGCTCTACAGACGGCGAGACGAGGCATTACAACCTGGGACAGCTCAGGTGAGACGCTGGAATTTACTCAAAACAAAAGGGCTTCAACAAGTCTGTTTTTAACCCAGGCCGTGTGGTAATGGTTTGTACTGTTATCTTGGTCCCTAAAATGCATTAAGTCTGAAACAAAAATGGCTCAAACAATAGCAGGGATATTATGGCTCCTGTTTCTCCTGCTCGACATCCTCCTCATGTTAGGAAAAGACCAGCTCAGATTAAAAGCTGTGGTGACGTTGGCCTCAACAAGCTCAGTTTATGAACACTTCTGAACATGTTGTTAATATGAAGCAACAACTGAAAGTCTCTGATCCTGAATTCTGTCTGCAGATCCGTGTGTCTGTCTTTGAGCTGCTGTTTTTTCCTCCACTGCTTCCAATTGTTTCAGCATTTCTATTCTGGATTGTGGTTGTTTTTCTATATCGTACAAAATAAGTCGTGTCACGGTAAGTATCTGTTCTGGTGGCTTCCCTCGTAAATAGAGTATTCGTTGGGAACTATTCTGAGTGAACATACAGCTGAAGGATGCGGGACTGGGTCGGAATAAACTACAGAGCGTTCATGGTAATAGGACGTGTCAGCCTGGGCGGCAGCGTGGCTCACTGATGTGTTTTTAACAGTTTTGGACAACAGCGGCGCTCCGCGGCACAAAGGAATGAGATATATCAGACTTTGACACACACACAATATACACTTTTGAGTTGGTTCGGTCTTCTTCAGACGACTTTCTTCACTGTTAGCTGGCTGTTCGGCTCATTATAAAGAAGATTCATAGCCTCTAACACCAGAAAGCTGTGTTCAGACGGTGTGAAACTTGCTGCATGAGACAGACAGATCCATATTCACCTGCAAATCCTGCTCAGCAAATCTTATCCTGCTTTGCTGTTTTGGGGAAGCATAAAATAGTCTGCAACACTGTAAGAAGCATAAAGGGATGCTGTTAGCGTTGAGAGCAAGAAGGCAGAATACCCAAATGACCTGTGTGCATGTAGAGATGGAAGGCAGAAGGAGTAGGAGGAAGAGACAAGACAGGTGGAGGTAAAGGGAGCTACGCTGATGAGGGCGACCAGGGGATAGAGGAGGAGAAGATGGGAGGGAAAACAGAGGAGGTGTGGGCGAGATGAAGGCAGAAACTGGGACACCTCAAGTGCAAGAGATGGGAGAATAAGGGGGAAGTAACCGGTTACGTACTCAGTGAATTTAGGAAGGAATTCATGCAGGAAAGTCTCAGGAAAGTCGGGATGTGCCTGAAGCACAAGATCACGTAGAAATGTAGAAAAATGAAATGCTAAGCCGGAGATGGAAGAAAAGACAGAGACAGAAAAAGGCACACAGTCAAAGTGGCTGACGGGGAGAGAAAATGGTGCCAGGAGAAAGAAAAGGAGAGGGTGGGGAAGACTTCAGAGAGGAAACTCCTCAGAAAGGAGCTGCAGACAGAGGGCGGAGTACAGAGGAAGAGACCCAGGAGACCGACGCAGGGAGAGATCTACAGGAGGGGGTGAAAGAGAGAATAGAAAACGAGGGATTAATAGTTAATGGGAGGGTCGTGTTGAAGAATCCTAAAATGTATGTGGGAATGGAAGAAAGGGAAGGCGTGTGTGAAGGGAAGAGCAGCTCAGACTAGACCAACCAGGTTTTATGACCTGACTGTCTCTGAGGAGAAACAGGAAGAACCCATTTTAAGGCAGGAGCTCTCCTGTTGCTGTCTGCCGTCAGTACCTCAGCCTCACATCCACTCCTGTTTATGGGGAACCAATAAAACCTGATGGATTTATGGATGGATGAAATACTATCCCATATCCACTCCCAGACTCTGGGCTTTATATCTTTTTGTAGTTTTGCAGGTGCAGTAGTCATGTGCTCAGGAGGACACATCTACCTTGGTCAGTTCTCCAAAATCAAAAGACGCCCAGATGTTTTATGCAGTGTAGACTAGTGCAGGTATGTGATGTGAACAATGTGTGTGATGCTGTATGTGCAGGTACATGTGAACAGGGTTTTATATGGGAATAGCAAATAGTATGAACCATGGAGGCAGCGTTATTGACAGATTCATAACAGTGCTTTAACTACATGTTTGATCTATTGCGGTTGATCGTTGAGTATTATTAAAACTCATTATGACAGCCAGTAATTTGCAATTACTCTAAAGATGCTCTAGAGCTGCATCGACAATTTGATCAAGTGTCAACTATTACAGGAACCACCCATCGGTTTGAGTATGTTTTTAAGGAAAAAAAAGTCAAAATGCTTCAATTCCAGCTCCTTAAATGTGAATACTTCTTTCTTTCTTTATTCCTTTATTGCAGGAAACAGAATTTCTTTTAGTTTACAAGATATTTCAGGCTGTTATCTTTGGGAAAACTATTTTCTGACATTTGATAGACCAAACAACCGATCGATTGAAGCCGCAGCAGGCAGAAATCTGGCAAAATAAATATTTCACCCTCCTCCTGCTGCTCCTTCCTCTTCTCTCCGTCTTCTAAGCCCCTCTAGTCGGGCATGGCTTTCCAAAGACAGTGAAGCTGAGCATCAACACATTTGTGGCGTCACACTGGATTCAAACCTGACAGCGACGGTAACCAGTCGCTGCAGCCCTCCTGCTATCATTCTTCATTATGTGCAGATTTATAATTTAACACCTCTCACTGTTATTTAGCTTTTTTGCTAATTCCTACCACAGTTGCCCCTCCACCACCCCAGCCTCCTCCTTCAGTGCTGCATCCTATTGATTTTAGTGATGCTCCTGGGTTTGGAGTTTGCATGTTCTACGTCTTGGGTTTTCACCGCGCTTCCTCCTGCAGTCCAAAGACACGCTGAGGTGAACTAGTGGTTCTAACTTGGCCGTAGGTGGTGAATGCATTGTTGTGTGTTGACCCTGTGATGAACTGCTGACCTGCAGGCTGCACCCGGTGGTGTGTAAATACTGGATGGATGTTCCTGTTTGTGTTTATTAAGCAGGGAATCTTTTTAGCAGGTTTGTTTCTACTCCAATGGGCAGAGCCTCATCTGATAACTAGCTGCATAACCAGATAAGTCCAAGGTTAAAGTTGAATCTGTCTTACTTTCATTTCCTCAGCACAGTTGTTTCAGGCTGTATTTATGTAGCAGGTAATGATGTACACCTGACTATCAGTCCTGGCTTCATTGTGAGGATGTGCAACCGCTGGTTTTAGATGTTTTATTCATTTATTCTCTTGTGCGCCAAGCACATGGATGTGAGCACAAATGTGTTAAGAAAAAAAACATTTAACAATAACTTCTTTCAAATCAGAGTGTAATGATTTAAATATTGATCTGCGTCAGTAGAAACGGGTCGCACACTGTCTGTGTGTGATGGCTGGTGTGTTTGCTGGCTGCCTTGGGGGTGTTGTTCTTTGTAAGCTGCGCCATTCATCCCTGCTTGGCCGGCAGCAGGCCTGGCCTCGCTCTGTTGTCCGTCTGTGACTGTAAACACACAGCTAATTAGTGCTCCCTGCAGACTGCAGCACGGCATCTGGTCAGCCCGACGCACACACACACACACACACACACACACACACACACACACACACACACACACACACACACGCACACACAGCAGCACAGACGCGTGTGTGAGCGTCGGTAATTGCACCATATACATGCAAACGGCAGATTCCTGTGAATCCACAAACATGAACAGTGCGTCGTTCACAGAGACTCTGACACAAGTGGGTGCTGTATTTTCTCAGACGTCTCTCCTGGTAGCAGGCGGCGGCTCACATTCCTGCTCTTCTGGCATCCATCCTTGGCCTTATCATAATGGGGGCCCTCCTGAGCCCTGGGGCCCTGATGGCTTGTCTCTGTCTGCTTTGCCTTTGATGCCAATCTGAGGGCCAGAAGAACCTTTTTTTGTCCCCTTGTTTGACTGGACAAGTTAAATATGGGGCGCATTCCTTACAGCTTGAGAGGATTGTTGCAGAGAGGTGGGGGTTAACGACACTCACTGCTGGAGACTTCCCTGTTTACGTTCTCTGACTGGTCGGTCGTGAGCAGCAGCAGCATCAGGACGGTGGTCAGCTGCCTCGCTCTCACTGGTCACTGGTTTATGATTGAATTTATCTGCAGCTCTTCTCTGTTTCCTCCACAGAGTGTGCATTCTTTGGAGATGCTGCTCTGCAGGCCGGCTGGGTTTGAATGGTTTTGTGTCATGTTTGCTCAGCTTAATAATTGATTGAAGTTGAGAAGCGTCGGGCACTGACTCAGCATTTAGTCACCGCTGAACAATGGTGCTGCCTGTGAATGCTTCATGTAAGAGAGGGCTGTGTGTGTTCCTGGAGTTAACAAGGGAGTGTTATCGCTCTCCCTGCTGCCCCTTCGGCGGAAATGAGCTCTGCGTCCGGTCTTGCTAAATAATCGCCGTGATTTGTTTTCCTGCAGAGTGTTATCATCTGAGCGACGCTTCGTTGTTGAGTTGGTTTCAATCTCTGTGTGTATTTAATTTGAGTAAAATCAACATGCAGCATGTGACGCTAACATATTTAGCTGTTCTGTCTGTGGTCCTAGCGTCTGTGATGTTTATAATGTCGTCGTCCTGTTTCTCAGACATGTTTGTTAACCGTCGACACAAAGCTTCTCATAAAATCTCGACAGGTGCTGAGCAACGACATGCACACAGGAAACAAGAGCAAACACAGACGCACTGCTTTCACGTTTATTTGAAGCAGACACGACGGTGTTTTGATCATCAGAAATCAGGATAAAGCGACAACGTGGACCGTCCTTTTATGCTCTGATATCCGAGTGTCTCATGTCTCTGAGTGCTGTTAAATCCAGCCCCTCTTCTTCTTTTCTCAAGTCGTGTATTTTTAGGCTGTAAACCAAATTAAACATCTGTCTTGTAACTCTGTTAGCCTCTCGTGATGTTACTGTCAGCTCGTGTTCATGTGACTGTCACCAGATGGCGAAGCAGGAAGACTGAGTGATGTTCTAACGCCGGCTGAATGCTTCTGTGCTTTCCATCTTTCTGTGATATGGCAAATGGTCCATAGCTTAATGTACAGTTCGTTGTGAGGCAGGAGTGGAAATTACAAGAGGTCAGAGCTCCTGAGAGTGCTTTCATCAGTGGGTCAGAGGTTGTACTGTGATCCTCCTTTGGGATAATAGGAAGCGCATGCTGCAGGATAGCATGCGCCGTCGTTCATGTGTATTAAGTTAGCTCTCCACGTGGACTAAAACCTGACAGAGGACACAGTGAGGGCTCGCACATTTCTGGATATGTTCACGCTAACACACACAGAGCCCAGTGTTGAACAGGGAAGTCGTGTTGTTGGTTAGTTAACAGCTGTCAGCATCTGTCGGCCTGATGCAGGTCATGGAGCGCAGCTTATGGTGTCACAGCAGAGACTAAATCCCTCACTGAGTTGTGTGCAGACGACTTGTACGTGAACTGCTGCTCTACAACCAGCTGATACCTTCCAGTACCCAAGAAAAAGATTTAGCAAGTCGCACTGTGTCAAATACATGATGGCAGAAATATCCAGGATCTCCCACCGCCTTCGTGCTCGTCTGGCCTTTCTGACCCACAATCCTCTGCGGAACATACGTCACATATGTCGCAGCGTCTTGTGTGAGTATAAACAATCTGGAAGCACTGAGAGCACCAACACATGACAGCTCCTCTTGCACCGCAGACTGTGACGAGTATATGAGCAAGACTGTCGGAGCTGAAGGTGCAATATTATGACAAGATAATATGTCCCACTTTGTATGCATGCTGCATGTAAGGGCAGCTGTGATATGTGCTGAAAGTAAAAGAGGTAAAAGGAAAAATGTGTGATTTGGAAGGCAGACGGTGTCTTCTTTCTCCCCGTAGCGCACACAGAACATCAGGCTTCATTCTGAGTTGTAAAGAGAGGTTTTAGTTCTCACCAACAGAACGATCTGGCTCTGCTGTCCTCTACATGCTATTCACCGGCTGGTTGCTAACATTGTGCGAGCTGGTCGTGCACAAATGAAAAATCTGCTTTCTGCTGCTGACAACGAGGAGAACAGCGTCAGTGAATCAGAGCTGCAGCTGGTAAAAGTAAAACAGTGAGAAACTAATATTTTCATTGTAGGTGAGAGGATTCTGTGGGGACGTCTTCACCTTCTCCAGTCATTTGCATTAATATAAATATACAGACAAAAGGAGCTTTAATATTTAGATGCAGAACTGTCTAGTATTTACCAGCGTTAGCCAACCACATTAAACTACTGGACGTACCAGACCGAGCAGTCTATTGAAGTACGTGATGGTGCCCTTGTGGCTTAATTTAACGTTTCATTCATGAGAGGAAGAATGCCACCTCGCTTTAGCCTTTAATGTCGATGGCTTCCAGGAACACAGAGGCCCTATATTATAAAGGAGCTGCTGATTTATGGCCTATAACATGTGAAGACACCCTACTTGTGTACACTTGGTTTAATAATGCTGGGCTATGAAAGACAAGACCCGGCACGCTCCCCGATCCAGCGTGTAGAGGATCAGGATCTGGGCGACAGCTGCTGCTCACAGCACACCTTTCCTCATCAGTCGCTGCAGTTCACGCGTCTCACTGCTTCACCTGTCAGCTTTCTGGCTCCTTAAACATCACTTCCTGTCAGTGGCAGCTTGAAGGAGCTCATCATGTCGTGGTGTTTAGACACGGTGGGCATGAAAAGATGTAGTTACCAGGAGTCACTTTTTGGAGTTTGTTGACATGCTGGCACCACAAACAGGAGAGAGACGCTGAAGAAGAGGGTTTGGTGTTCAGTTCTAGGCTCAACCATGATCGTGAGTTTGGTTTCTCACAATTAATTAAACACAATCGACTGTCATATTGAAGTTTGACTTGGTTTCAACGTCCACTGTCGCCTGCATGTGAGGCGTTTAAGGAACATCAGTAGATTGTAGAGGCAGATATGCAGCAAGTGAGGGGTTTTGGATACAGTTTAATTTAGATTTTGCTTTTAAGAGATGCTCTGAATTAAGATTGTTTTAAGTCGTCCTTTGATGCAAAGATTAGCAAGAATGAAGCACGACGTGAAAATAAAAGACGTGCATTTTATATTTTAATGTGAAAGTGCAAAAACAAATATTTGTCTCTAGATATTTATCTTTGATGCAGATGTGCTCCCCTACAAGATTACCCCAGTCCTTCTGGAAGGATTCATTCTGTTCAAATAGAATTATACAAGTCATCTGGTCTGATATTATAATATATATACGGCAGATAAACAAGCACCCTGCAGCTCCACTGTGTTGATGTCTGTCCCACATCATCATCTTCTTCCTCTTCAGGCTGTAAATCACCTCTCACCTGCCTTGCATTTTCCAGGAGGAGCGATAAAGCATTATTAACGAGGCGACGTTGAAATCCACAAATCCTGTTTGCAGCTCTGATTGAAATGAATGTAGTTCCAGAGATCTGCGGTTCGTGTTGCTCACAGTTCATGTTAATACACCATGAATGTGTCTCCAGCACCACGACCGTCCTCTGCTGTGTTAATCCGGCAGATTATTTCTGTCTCTGCAGCCTCGTCTGGATGTGTCATGATGTGTTGTTCCTTCTGTCTCGGGGTATTCCCCACTAAGGCATTCATTTAGGTCTTACTGTTGGATCCTCGGGCTGCCTTCCTCCTTCAGAGCCACCGTCTCCTCCATCACTTCTCCCTCTGCTTTCTGTTACCTGCTAAAAAACACCAGGGGGAATTTTTTCACTCGTAGAAAGTTTTCAAAGAAAGTCGAAAAGGTCTTTCGGCTAATGCTTCCTTCTGCCTCTCCTACCTGCTCGCCGTTCTTCTGTATTCAGCAGGAAGGGTTACTGCAGGGATTTCCTCGTATTTGGTATTACAAGTGAGAAACGTCCTGTGGCTAATGCTTCTCACGTTCTCCTCCTCTGCTTTACAGCTCTCACGCTGGCGTCGAGCTCCCCGGATTCCCGCCTCGAACGTTTCCCTGGGCTGAAACTCACCTGTAATTCCCCTGCTTTCTCTTCCGCAGTATTCAGCGTGCAGCTCTGGCCATCATAGAGCACTACTACTGTGATTTCCCAGTCCACAACCCGGCGCTGCTTTCCGCCTCCAAGTCCCGCGCCGCCAAACACCTGGCCGGCCTTAAGGTCTACAACGTGGATGGTGAGTTCCCAGCAGCCCCAGCCGAGGGTGAGTGGGATGCTCCATGTTGCGTCTTTGTTAGCGCTTTGTTGTTTTGTGTGTGTGTGTTTTAGAGTCTCAGAAGTCGGCTTTTGCTTCCTAACGCTGGTCTGGGATCAGAAATAGAAATGAATAGTTAGTAATAATGTGTAATGTTGTTTTATTTAGCTGACTATTGAGCTGCAAGGTTTTATTTTGCTCATGAATTCCTCAATTGTTTGGTCTAAAATGTCACAAAATGATGAAGTCAGTTTACAATATTTGGTAAAAGAAAAAAACCTTAAACCTTCATGTTTTACAGGTTGGAATCAAATGATTGCTGATTAACTTGTTGATCAATCAGTTATTTAATCAGATAACGCGACATGACTTCATGTCTTCACATAAAGAACACATTCATGGTTTTGCATGTTTTACTACAAATTATTTTATCATTTTCTCCTGCTGATGCTTCAATTAATGTCCATTTATCTTTTTAAGGACTTATGCAACTGGGTCTGTAGTTAACAACCATTTCTGATAATTAATCTGTCACCTATTTTCTTAATTAATTGGTCACAATTTCAAAAAAAAAAATGGTCCAAAACCCACAAATATTCAGTTTATCTGTTGGAAGGTTAAAAAACAAACCTCTGTGATCAGTTTTTTATCGTTGTTGTTGTTGTTTTTCTTGTTTTATGGCTTTTGCTGAACTACTAACATACATTTAACCTCCTTCGTGACCGTTTTTCTAATTCTACAGCTTTATAGAATAATATCTTGGTTTCAAACTTCCTTCCTTTCATTCACCAGCCACAGTTTTCCAGAACACATTTAGAGAAATTAATGGTTTTCTTTGTGTCACAGGCCAAAGATTTGGGATTTTTTTTTCTGTTAAAAAGCTGCAAAGATCAGTGTGTCATCGTAAAAGTCGCCCTTTGTTTGGTGTTCATCAATTATCCGACCGTTTCTTTTACCTTCCAGTGAACTGAATTGGTCATTTGTCTTCTCTCCTGAAAGGCCACACTGGTGCATTTGGCATGTTTAAGCTTATTTACAACAACTTCATTGAATATATTCCATTGATTCCTGCAGGCAGCTCCTCACTTGCATTTCAGCACAATGTGAAAATCCCTTGGCAGTCCGTTAATAGTTGTTTGATTCATTAAATGACAGATTTTTTTTGCCACCATGTGCTAAGACTTGCCACCATCTCTCAGCCCAGATTCTTCACTTTGTGAGTGGATTTTTTCTATTTCACAACTGCTAATAACAGCATCAGGGGTTGGACACAACATCCATAAGGTGATGCATCATGTCACGATTAGATCTGACCCTCTAAATACATTCCCACGACTGGTTTGACCTCCCAGAGCCACCGCTTCGTGACTCCTCGTGGTGGTTTTTTACGGATATTTTCTAATTCTTCAGTTGCACATGTGTGACAAGTCGAGCTACTGTGTGGTTCCCACTCGTGATCACCGTCGATGCTCTCTATCGCCCGCCTCAGACACCTTTCAAGTCCCGGCAGGTTGATCCTGCGCTCTGCTGGAATGCGCTAAATCAAACAGCTGCCTGGAAGGAAGGAAGGAAATCGATCTGCAAACATAGCATGATTGAAAAATTGTCAACAGTATTCTAAAGCCCAGGTGATTTGTAGTTTGTGGGCTGCGACATGCAGAAAGTACAAGCGCGGTCATCGGATACGTGCCTCGGCTCACCCTCTGGTATGTTCTCAGCAGGTGGGAATGGGATGTGCTCAACTGCTGACTCTCTTCTCTCTCTCTGTGTCTCTTCGCACTAACCCCTTAAGACATCTTTAGAGCTAAACTGAAAGCCTACCTTTTGGACAGTAAGTAACAGCCGGACTAACTAAAGCACCCTCACCGACTTGCTGCCTGCTGGTGTCCACTTTATTAACGCTTCCCTCACACTTCCCCGCTCCTCGTTGCTCTTTGCATGCCACAGGTTGATGAAAAAGTTCCAAGTCATCCTCACGACAGCTGGCAGAATGTAACACGAACCCTCTATTAAATAACCGCTGTCCCTTAAGTGTACTCAAGCTTCACCTAAGTGCGCTAACTTGACTCCCTCTTCTCTCTCTTTCTTTTTTTTTTTTTTTTCCTGCTACCATTCGTCTCCCTGCTTTCTTCTGCTCTCCTCTCCAACGTTAGCGGGAGACAGTCACGGAGACGGCTGATAAATCAATAGCTATTACGCTGCTCGTCTTGTCATTTCTCTCTCGAGTCTTATCCTCCTTCGTTTTCATCCTGCAGCAGCTGCTCGGGGGACCTCTCCGTCTTTCTCTCGCTCGCCTCGTGCTTCCCACTCCTCCTTCCTTTCTGCAGCTGCGCCGGCATCGTAATAAATAATCCAACTCGGGGACAGACAATAATCTTTCCTTGATTAAAGAGTGGTGAAGCCCTGAGCACAAAGCAGCCATAACACTCAATTACGCTTCGTCCAAATGGCTTCAGGTGATTTCATGACGCCTGACAAGCGGATTCAGCTCTCGGAAACTCATCAGAGGTTTTGTTTTGCAAAGCAGTTCTGCTGTGGACGGAACACTCAGAGTGCTGACATTTTAAAAAATAATCAAAGAATTGAATAAAAAGTGGAACGCAGCACATCGGTCACGATAAAAGACGGTTGTTTAGCTTTTGGTCTTGAACAAGGGAAAGACGTGAATCTTTCAGGACACATTAAAATCAAATCACAACACAGAGGTTTTTATATCTTTTCATTCTTTTAAATATTTCATCATCGCACAAATGCATAATAAATGTGGAAAAATAGCTGCCATCCAACATCAAAATGATTTCCGCTCCTGTCCTTAGCAAGGTGTTCTTTTTATCCAAACATATAAAACTTCCATGAGTGGCTCAGAAACCTCCTCCAGAACATTTTAAACTACACGTTCCTGCACTCTGGTGAAGTTTTATGCACCAATTTGTAGCCTCTGTGCTTCATTTTATGGCGGAAATATCAGTTTTATCTCAAAGAAAACACAAACTTCCTCCATTTCAGGAGTTGTCTGAGCTCATATTTTGAAGAAGGCTTCCCCCTGTGTGAGGCACTGTTTGGTCTCTTAGTCTTCTGCTTCTTTAGCGCTTTTTATTGGAGGGATAAATGCACAAGTTATAAATATTAAGGGCATATGTTCTCTGCATCCCACGAAAATGTTCGCTTATGGCTTGTTTCCAACCCACTCTGGCCCGTCCAGATGTTGCTCTGTGTATTCAGCATTAATTTAATATTGCAGGTTTACTTCATTCACTTCAGCACCGTATGTAATCTGCCCAAAGCTGTTGCATACAACTGTCCATATAACAGTGTGTGATTTATCCAGTAACGAGCTGCATGTATCTGCTCCATTTGGATGCCTTCAACGTCTTCCCTTAATAATGACCTGAGCTATAGCAGGAGATTCAGACAAAAACACAATTTTTCCTCCACTATCGGGCTTTTAAAGAGCTTTCACCAGAGAACAGGTCTGAGGTCAGCACATCGAATTAATGCTGTCAAGGCTAAAGCTGCATCCTGCTCTGTGTCCTGATGTAGGTCTGCAGGTTTGTGACTGTTGGAGCTGTAGAACTTGTCCCGATCCTGACTGAACAGGGACTTCTGGGACATTTATACTGAACCACAAGCAGTTTCTGTGCAGCATGAAGTTATGAATAATCAATCACTGAAAAAAGAAAAGATGAATTTCTGACAAAAATGTAAAAAACTGCAATCAGCACTTCCAGCATTTTTCCAAGTGTCCACAGGTGTTTCCAATACTGGAGGAAAAAAACTGGTGCTTCACATTCTGAGCATATTTTACTACTTTCATCGTGATAAATCTGACCATATTTCACTTTGGTTTCCTTCTGCTTTGGCATTTTTTAAATCTCCTGTGCGGAAAGTGGTTTTAAAAAGCAATATAAAGAATCTAAGTTTACCTTCCCTTGACATTCAGGATAACATTTCTCACCCATAAATTCCGTCTAATACCGAGAGCGGGGTGGAATAAAACCTCCTTCCACTTCATCTATGAATTATTCTGCTCATGCTCGATCTCTGCCCCGACATTAATAATTCACCAGCTCTGCCTTCTTTTAACCTGCATTAACATGATGGGGGGGGGTTCATCAGCAGCCTCCCATCCTAATTCTAAGAACGTAAACTTTTGAAGTCGCCCCAGACGCTCGTCTAATTGGACGCCTTGTGCCCCCCGAAGGCGGCAGAGGAATGTTTGAATATCAGCAGCCGTAAGTGGGCGAGCGGCGTGTTTTAGATTTCCAAGTGCTCGGAACAATTAAAAATTACGACTGTGTGGCTATTCCCGTCAGCTGCCGGGGTTTTAATATCGCAGGTGATAAAAGGAAATGGACCGAGGTTTATGTGCACTAATAATGAGTCCGCTCCACTCCGACGGCAGCTTGTTCCCTCACATTGCACTTTGTGTCGTCACCAAAGATCTCTGTCTGTGAGCACCGAACACCGAGTCAGACTCCTGTACTTATGTGATCTTCTTCTCACAACAGGTCCGGGGAACAATGCAGCAGCAGGACTGGCCCACTCCCAGTCCAGAGCCATGATCGCGGCTGCAGCCCGCCGCAGAGACACGAGCCACAACGAGCTCTACTACGAAGAGGCTGAGCACGAGAGGCGGGTCCGCAAACGCAAAGCACGGTGAGTCACACAGCAGCTACTGAGGGCAACGTCTGACTGAAGTGTCATCATCATCTGAGTCCAGAAGGGTCTACGTCAGGGATCTCCAACTCCGGTCCTCGTGAGCTGCTGTCCTGCAGGTTTTCTGCAACACAACTGACTCACATGAATGGATCATCAGCAGACTTGTGCAGAACTTGCTGTTGGAGATCCATTAATGTAAGTCAGGTGTGTTGCAGGACAGTAGCTCACGAGGACCGGAGTTGGAGATCCCTGGTCTACGTGAGCCCCTCACAGGAACACCGACTGCATGAGTCAGAAAACAAATGGGATATAGATCAAATACTCAGTTTGAACAGAGAACTCATGACAGAGTTATAGTAGCATGAGGGAACACAGTGGGACGTTCTAAGTTCTCCAGACGTCCTGTGTTATGTCGCCCACTGTTCTAAGTCTGTAAGCAGCTGCTGCAGCCATTAAAATGTGAAAAGTCACAGCTTTTCATAAATATCCACGGGGCTCCTGTGTTTTCTGGGTTTGATGTGAGGGACAATACGACTGACCTTAAATGAGCATGTGTGGAGCAGTTTTACACCTCAAGGAGTCTAACACTGATTCAAAGTTTTAGGAAAGGAATGGAAGCACACAAAGAAATCCATCTTTACGTATAAATAACGTTCCCAACACTGTTTGCTGTGTCTCCTCCCAGCCTGGTGGTGGCAGTCGAGGAGGCCTTCACCCACATCAAGCGGATGCAGGAGGAGGAGCAGAAGAAGGCTCCGGGGGACGTGATGGACCCGCGAGAGGCAGCACAAGCCATCTTCCCCTCCATGGCTCGGGCGCTGCAGAAGTACCTGAGGACCACCAAGCAGCAGCACTGCCACAGCATGGAGAGCATCCAGCAGCACCTGGCCTTCTGCATCACCAACAACATGACGCCCAAGGTCTGAGCTCACACCCACGGCGTGTTCAGGGCTGTCATTTGTTGTTGATTTGAGTTTACCAAAGTGTGCTCCTTCCTCCCTGCCAGGCGTTCCTGGAGAGCTACCTGGTCCCGGGGCCGACCCTGCAGTACAGCCGGGACCGCTGGCTGGCCCGTCAGTGGACGCTCATCAGCGAGGCGTCGGTCACCAGCGGCCTGAAAGACGGCAGCGTCTTCCTGCTCAAGTGCGTGGACTTCAGCCTGGTGGTGACGTCCAAGAAGATCCCCTACATCCAGATGTCTGAGGAGTACATCGACCCCAAATCACACAAGTTTGTCCTGCGGCTACAGTCGGAGACCTCCGTGTAGGACTCCAGACGGCTTTTTTTTTTTTATTCCTCACCCAGTCGCGTTGCTCTCAAATGTTTTCACTTTGGGTTTGCAGTTTTTATTTTTACTTCTTTGGATTTTTTATATATTATATATGAATCTATATATCACACACGTTTGAATATATTGATCTTATAATGTTTGATTTGGATGAAAAGAAGAATTGACGGAACAGGAGTTTGGACGCCTCGGGTATGGTTGTGCACATGTGTGTGAGCGTATGGGTGTGTGTGTGAGTGTGTGTGTGAGTCATTTTGTGTCAATCACTCGTTCCTTTTTGTGTTTGAGATTCTGAAGCCAAACGAGACGGGAACAAGAGACTTTTTTAGGCTTCTGACGCCCTCATGGAGACGCCTCGGTCTCCAGACAGACGGACAGATGAACCACTACGGACTGAGATGGTGCGACTCATTTGAAGCCTGATGGAAACTCTCTCGTCTCACTGACAACATTTCAAAGTATTTGGATGCTTTTGGACGTCGACAAATTGAGAATTAAACTTTTTTTTTTTCTCAAGAAAATCAAATTAAATGAAACGACTTCAATCAGATTTTGCATCAAATGCACCTTCATGTAGAAATGAAAGGACACGATGTGGGAACGTGACCCCGGCCTGCTCAGAAACCACGTGGGAGTGTTTTCCTCTCCACACTGTCCTCATGACTGTTTCAAGACTCCTCCTGACAAACTCGGTTGAGATGTCACACTCCGTCACGTCCAGCCTGCGGCACACAGTGGCGCCCGTGGGTGCTCGTTTCAGCAGCCAAATTGGGACTTTTTGGGATTCTCCTCCAGGTGCAATGGAGCAAAATCCGAGATATTTCCACTCCAGTTGGGAACAACACAAGCATGCTATGGTAAACACCAGGACGGACCGAGTAATAAGAGACATGCAGGGATGGACACATGCCCCAAATCATCAGCGACCCTCTCAGGGCCTTCGTGTCTGACTTGGTGGGAAGCGAAGGCAGCGGGGAGACGTGCTGTCAGAATAAAAGTACTACTGATTTCTCCACAACAGAACTCCTCCGTCTTTTTGTTAGGACAGCAGCAAATCCAAATAAAACTCTTAATACATTCTCAGAGACAAGACAACTGGTAAATTTAGTGTAACGTCCTATTTTCACAGCACTAACCCACTCGGTTCTACTCTGCTCTTTATAACTTTGGCTGATTCCGGTTGTTTATTCGTTGCTGCTACTGTCTGCAAAACGCCACACTTCTGATGTTTCTTTCACATTAAAAGGCTTCTTTTAAAGGGAAAGCTGCAAGACTTTTATTTCTCAGATAATTTGACTGTCGGCGACGTAGAGAGACGGGAAACATGCAGCGACACGTATGACGACCTGCTGTCCTCGGTGGCAGCGTGTTGTGGACGTGTGGTGCTGTGTGAACATTAGCTCCTGTGGTACGTGTCTACAGGGGGGCTGGAGGTTGATTTACATGGTTTTGTGTTGTGTTGATGGTGTTCTTCAGACACTGTCGGAGGGACGCTTGTGATCTGAAACTCCTGGATTTCAAACCGACACAGCAGCTCACTTGGAAACAAAAACTTGCCACTGAAATGCATTTTTATACGGTGAGCTGCTCAGTCTGTTCTCATTTTAGATGTACAAGTGTTCGTTTTCTGCAGGAGCTCCAGCAGATCCTGTGGGCACGTACCATGAGGAGCTACTGGGCCACCCCGAGGCGTTTAATGTGAAAAGTTTCTTCGTGTTTCTTTCATGTTAGTGGTGTGAAAATGGACATCGAACTGAATCTATCAACGCTGCAAATGAATACCTGGTTGATTCAGCCACTCAGCCAAACAAAGACTTCAGTGTGTTTCGTCTGATTTTATCCTCCAGGGCTCACAGGGTTTGCTTTTATCCCGAGAATTCATTATAGGTGACAGTGAACCAACAGTAGGAACAGCGAGCTGCAGCAGCAGCAGCAGGGCGGAACCTCCTTCCCAACTGGACCGTCTGGTTTTCCTTTACTGCCTTCTTCTCACCTCTGTTGTCTGATAAACATGCAAATCCCTCGAGGTCTGTCCTTTCACGGGAGGCTCAGGAGGGATTTTTTCTTACTAGTATTTCTTTCACCCGACGATTCACGTAAAGCCAGAAAACAGTTTGATTAAGCTGAACCGTCACCCTGAGATCCTGTCGGTTACTCTGCTCCTATCTGATCTGGTTAACTCAGCAAAGTGGGGAAAAAAAAGACTGAGGAGAAGAAGAAGTCATGCCACCAACATGCTGTGTGGCTGTGAGCTGTCCCCTACTGCCCCCTGCTGGTCGACCTGAGGGCATCTGCATTAAAATACTGCACATTTTTGCAACTTCACTGTAAAAAAAAAAATTCAAGTTAAGCCACCAGGAAAGAACTAGACGTCCTCGCTGTTTCATGTGTGAAGCACTGACAGCTGGTCATGTTTTGTACCTACTGACAGATGAACTGTGTGTGATCCCGATGTGACTGTGCCTCCTGTTTTTACACTGTACCTATTTATGTAAACAAGCATGTGTGTGTATACGTGTGTGTGTATGTATGTATGTATGTATTCCATTCCAGTTCCCATGACCAGCCTTCCTCCCCCCCCCCTCCTCCTCCTCCTCCTCTTCATCATCAGCACCATCTGTCACACTGCTGCCACGTCACAGTCCTCGGTCACGGCTCGGTTTCTGATGGACAGCTTTACGATGACATTGCAATGTAAGACACGTTTCAGTTTCACAGCATTTGTTTAAAAAGAAAAAACGAATAAAACATTTTTATGAACATTTGTAAATCTGCTGAGTACGGGGGTGTTTGTTGTTGAGATTTTGGGGCATTTAGATGAAAAGACGATCCAGTCATCATCTGCTCGACTAGCAGAGATTTACCTGAAACTGTTTTTGTAGCGTGAACTAGGGATGTTTTTTTAGTTGTTGTTTTCTTGGCACATAGAAAATGGAGGCTTTATCTCAGGGTCTACTAAAGATAAAGTTATTTTTTTGGCCTTTATTCGATAGAAAAGTTAAGAGACAGACAGGAAAGTGGGGGAGAAGGATGGGGGAAGGACCTGCAGAAAAGGGCCATGAGTGGGACTCGAACTCATGACCTCTGTAGCCCCTGTACATGGGACACCAGCTCAACCAGGTGGTGCCCCTTTTTTTATTTCTGTCTCAGAGTCATCCACATTAAAATGTTCCTACACATTTTGTTTTGTAAAACCGGGCAGCATAGATGACGTTATGGGTAGACGAAGATGGAAGTTATCTGAGAAACCTTGAAGAGGAAGAACAAACGAGCAAAACGTCTATGAGAGAAAAATGAAAGAAAAGAGTTCAGGAATTGTTTTCAGTCGGGAAAGTTTTAATTATTCTGTCTTGTCAGGTAATATCGGTCATGTTTCACGCTGCCTGGACACAAAGATGGTAAAAGAAGCGGAAACAGACGATCATTTATAGAAAATAAATGTGTGATACTACACAGCTTATTTCCCATTGGACCTCCCGAAGTGAAATTGGGGATATTTTCCAGATTTGTTGTTGCGATTAGCATTTTTTTAATGCTGTACTTTAAAATGCATTCTCTCCTCCTACTATAGAAACAAGAAATGATCAGAATACAACTTGATGAATCGATGATGATACAAGAAAATGATCCTCATTCGATTCTGGCGTTTTCTGGGGTGAAATAAAATCAGTGAAATGATCATTATTTCACCTTGAAATCATTTGATGCTACAGAGGCTGAGACCTTCGGAAGCCAAGAGTAGGAATTATTTCACTTAATAATTTGTCTTATCTCGGGATAGCACAATAATTAACTTGCTTTCTTGTGATTAAGGTTTGTTTCTTAAGTTAATCCTTTAATTATTCCGTTCTCATGAGGGAGTGAGACCTTCTGACAATATTCTGACACAGCAGGACCAATAAGAACTGATTCTCCACCTCTCTTGGCTTCCACAGACACCAACAATGATTTTATTTTGATTTTCCCTTCAACCAAACTATAAGCTGTCAAATCACACAGCAACATTTTGAACATCTACCTGTTGTCTGCCAAACTAACTCCTGCACTGTCGACTTCATCAGCATCTCCATATGCGCCGGTTTGCCTCGGCGGCTGCAGGCTCGCTAACACTCGGCTCTGTCGCTGCACATTAAGCGTGGGGCCCTGCTGTGTGACATGCCCGAGCAAAATATCAGCCTGCTCTTTTTTTTTTTTTTTTTTTTGCCCGTATTTTGGTGGCTTTTTGTTGTCATGGAGCTCAGCGGTAATTGGCTCGCTGTCAGCCTGTCAGAGCTGTGCAGCCGGGCCTTGTGGGTAAATGAATGTCAGTGTCCGGTGCTGAAAAAACGAACAACCTCATCCCTCCTCGAGCCCGGAGCGCGAGGCTGCCTGTCGGAACTCATCTGTCCTCGGTTTAATCCCCCTCCCTGCTCCACGCAGGACCAGGACGAGGAGGAAGAGAGACGGGTGGGGAGGAAAATGAGGAGCATTTGCATCTAAATGGAATGTTTTCTTCTCTTCGTGCCTTCCTCTCTATTCCTTCTGTAATGACTTGGTTATGTGCAGATTGAGGCATGAGAGGAAATCCCTTGAGTGGCTTCAGTTTTGAACAGAAATCTGCATCTTACTCCTGTCTTATCCTTGTTCTGTCCTATTTTATATTAAACTCTTAGAGCCCTCACACCCACAGTGTAATAGTGTCGCCCTTCCTCTGCTGGGAGTCTTCCTGCCCTCCCTTTAGTCAGCATTCATGCAAAACACCATCACACCCGACACTTCTACAACCTGAAGGCCCTGCAGAGCATCACAGCACCGCCACACTGTCTGGATGCCTCGGGAGCCTTTTAAATGCGTCCACGCACACACTGTTGAATGTTGTCATCTCTCATCCGTGCCATAGATCAAGTATAAATCCCGCACCATGATGCAAACATCCTGTTGACACACTGCATCACATCCACCCTTCGGGGGACGATGATTCTTGCGCGGCCTTGTATTATTAATTCATGTCCAGCGTTACAGGTTCAGCAGGAGTTTGTCCGCTCCTTATGCAGTTTGTTGGGCCCCGGCGGGCCGGCCCTTTGAGCCTACCTCACCCCGACTCCCTCCCTCCCGACCTCCCCCAGCCTCCATGTCCAGGTCCCTGCTCCCATTAGGAGGCATAACATTACTGAATTATTTACCAGCGTGTGAATAATTCAAGGAGAAACACTCATTGACTGCCGGATAAAATGTGTCGATACGCTGTCTTGAGCATCAGTCTAGACTTTCTTAATGAGGAGGGGAGCTAAATTGTGTATTCTCTCATAAAAACAACATGAAAGACGTGCACGTAGTCATTATGGGCTTTTATTACCGCGGCTTTACATGATGAGGATGTTCACTGGGACCAGATATGCAGGATTGTAAGTGTTGGTATACTAAACACCTCATTTTTCCTTGAATGGATCACGAGAAAACAATTCAAGCACGAACATTTATCTCTTTTTTTTTTCACCTATGCATACACCAAAAGATGTAAAGTATCCTATTGCTCCACTTAAAGCTGCTATAATGAATAACGTATCACCAGCTCCACGGCCCTCCTCAACTTTATGGAATGTTTGAGCATCTTCCGGCTTGTTGTTTTCAGGCCTGCAGCTTTAATGTTTGGGTTCGCTCTCTGTGACGTCTGTAAACCCACCAGACGCTACCTGACTAGCACCAAACAGCTAACAGTGGTTGTTGAACATAGTGGGGTATTATCTGAAGAGCTACCGAGGAGTTTGTTAAAGGAAAAGCAGAGCTGAATGTTGGTTGTATAATCAGGTAGACAGAAAAATGAATCCAAATGTTACTGTTTTCCTTGTTGGATGTGTAAATAGGAAACAGATTGCTCACATGTGAGTTAATAAGACACTGTTTGCAGTTTGCTGTGCTGCTCCCAGGCGGCCATAAATTCAATTAAGTGATATCCTGATCCTTGGAACGTACAGGAGAATTACAGCTTCAGGCACTGCGCTAACTTTGTGATAAACTGGGCCAAAAGTGTTCCCATGATGACCTTTAATCATCTCTGTTTGATCTATCTTTTAAACTACCATCTAGCGTTTAGAAATCTTGAACACTCTGCATTTTCTTTTAAATGAAAAAGAGACATGTTGTTTGTCAGTAATCTGAGCTGCGATCAGTTTAGTCGTCGCCGTCGTCTTCCTCATCAGGCTCGTGGCTTTCGTCGCTGTCCTCCGTGATGTAGCTGTCAGGGCTTTCCAGGTCGTCGGCGGACTCGTCGTCGTCCTCGGTGTTCACCCTCCCTGACAGGACGTCCTCTATCCAGTCCTCCAGCTCCTCGGCGGTGGGCAGGTCCTCGTCGTTGGACATGTCCAGCCAAACGCTGTCGGCCTGGAACAAACAGCAACACCGAGGTCAGCGTCTGCACACGCCTCATTTCTGTGTTTTCTGAGGCTTTAAGGCTCACTTACATCTGTGACATTGACCACACCAATCTGGGGGCGAAACAGGTCCAACTTGAAGGTTTTTTCCCAGTAGGTGGTCAGCTAGAGGGGCCAGACAAACCAGGGTCACGTCAGAGATGCTTTTTTTATATTTGAAAGGCAGATAGTTGGTGGTGTGCGGATAGTGTTTAGCTTATTTTTAAAAAAGTCTAATATTGAAGCAGAACCAGAGGGAAGTCATCAGGGTCAATCCAGACGATGCTGAGCTCTGGGTTGTTGGTGTTGTCTCTGGCCACGTCTTTCAGGATCTCCAGGAACTCGTAGCCATCTGGGGATGACAGAACAGAAGTAGCTAAGCTCCCCTTCTGGCGCCAAACAAAGATTAGTAACAAAAAATGAAACAAACAGCTACAGACCTGGATCTTCTTCTTCAGCAAAGGCAACGATATGTATTCCATCCATGTCATCCTCCTGTTGGTAGAACATAGTCAGCAGAACAACTTCAGGAAAACGCATTTATGTAAAACCTGCTTACGTTAGACTGAACGACTACTCACCCACGTCTCAAACATGTTCTCAGCCCGGAGCTTCCTCAGCGTCGCCCTGTAAAGAGCTCACGGTCAGGAAATCCAGCCTAAACGTCTTATCAACGCTTCAAAATAAATCAAATCAACCTTCTGTGTTGGGTGACAAATTCGACGATGTCCATCTCTGACAGAGGTCGACCTGGAAGGATGGCCGGCTCCTCCATGAACGGCTCGTAGAAATTGACCTCGTTCATCTTGAGGGACAGATGTTTGGCTACCTGGTGACAGAATGGGATTATGACATAGTTATGAGGTTTTGTTTTTAACGAGTTAAACAAATAGAAAAACTAACGGGGTTTTATCAGAAGTTAGTTTTCTAATAAATACACACATCATTCCCATACATACATGCCAGCAGGAACCTACTTCATCTTCATCATGTTGTAAAGCTGCATTTTGTCCTCCGTGTCTGTTTAGTCACACGACACCAAGAGGTCAGCACCGTTATCGGGGTTATTTTCTGTTTATCAGTGACCAGAATATGATAACAGTCCTACTGAGCTTATAAAATGCTGGGAAGGTCCTTACTGCCTTGAATGTATGGGAATGTTTGATGATAACATCCAAATCAGGGGAGATGAGACAACTGATGCCACCATTATCTGTATGTTAAATAGGAAGCTATCATTAGCTTAGCTTAGCATAAAGCTAGAAACGGGAAAACAGCAGCTGGCCTGGGATGTGCTTATTTAACAAAGTCGGCCCACTGTCCCTCTATAGCTCATCAATTATCACATCATGGCGCTGACTAAACCTCAGCGCTGTTTGTTTATTGAGACTTACAGATTTATCGAACGTGGCAAAAAACTTGATGTAAGGTTGAAACCGCTCCGAGGCCTCCTGAAAAGCTTTGTAGTCTGAGAAAACATGAGACACACAAAGAGACACTGGTGAGGGACTGAAGAGGAAAGTACAGCAAGTGTTCAGGCTGTGGATGAATGTACAGGGTGTGATGAGGAAGGTCAGCGGTGAACCCTCCTCTCTTCATTCGATTTCCCATCATGATTCCACTGTCTTCATCCCAGTAACAAAGTCTCCCTTAATACAGTTTTATACGCCTGTAACATGCTCCTGGCTCCGCTACCAACAAGGTCACCACCAAGGACCGACCTATCTCTGGACAGAAATAGGCTCCATAATGAAAATCCGTGCCTCTGTCATATCGGACCAGATAGCATCTTCCCTGCCTCACTTTTTCTCCCTTTTTTGAGAGGAACTATAATTGCAGTTTGACCTATTAGACAGAGAGCTAGAAGCTATTTAAAGGCTCTCCTGAGAACTAGCGAGAGTACCACAGTCTGGAATCAGGTTTCCCTTTAACAGCCAGTTAGGCGGCATGGTGATGTAGCTCCATTAGCCTTTAGATCCCGTCAGCATCTGGGGAACGCTGAGGCGACTTTAGGAGGAACAGTTTTCCACCCATCACATGCCGCCTGTCTTTGTAAATTCAAATACAAATGTATGTGTGGACACTGGCGCGTGAGTTTGGTGGTAAACCAACATGAGTCTTCTCCTTTGAAGTAACCGATGAGGCGGATGTCTTCCTCCATCCTCTCGAAGGCTCGTATCTCCATGGCGTTGTTGATCATTTCTACGGGGTCCTCCAGCACCTGGGGGTGGGAAAATACAGGAAGAGGATTTCACGTAGTCAGTTGTTGGACTGACTTAGATGATAGGATCAATAACTTTGTCGTGTGTGTTCTGTCTCATGAGAGTAATCTCCATCGTCTCGAGGGAGCTGATGTTCCAAATGTCAAAGGATTGCTTTAAATTCAATTTAGGTTAAAAAAAATGTCACATATTACGCTTTGATAAGCAATGATTTCAGTGGAAAATGACATGAAAGTTGCTCCTGCTGACTCTTACATAACTGAGGATTTCTTATCGTTGACACTCTAACAAGAAGCAGATCTTTCCACTCACATCCAACAGGAACTCCACCAGCGTGTCAGACGAGAGCTCGCCGTCAAACTCGATGATGCGGTCGTCCTTGAAGACGTACAAGCTGCCCACCTCCTCCAGACCTAGTCAGACAGCAGGAGCATTGTCCATCACTTCAAGAAGGCCAATGTGAGACTAGCTTGGTGGACAGTAGCAGAGACGTTATTGTCATGAAGTAGCTGTTGGTAACAGGTGGCTATGACAAGGACAGTCATGTGAATCAGTCGACAGGAAAGCCTACAATACTGAATGTACATAACAGATGTGATACCAAAGTCATACCCAGTTTCTTGGCTACTTTGGAATCCTTCTGAGAATCCACCATTCCAAAACCGATGTCTTTGTCCTCCAGGACTTGAGCCGTAAGCTGAGTGTTCACAAAAAGCAAATGTCAAGCCATTCCTGGAAACACCTGAAAGCTTCCCACATTTAAAAAGCTTATATGTAGCTCTACAATGCGGCTTCCTTTAGAATATGCAGATCCATGAAGTCCCTGCCCACCCTTCTGCTTGTCACTGCAGCTCGAGCACACCAGCTCACCTGCTCAAACGCTGTAGAATCACTTTACACGACAGTAGAAAGCTGTAGAGTAATTTAGCCGTACATGAGAGCAGAAATGCATTCTGAAAAAGAGTAATGACACAGAAAGTGCAGCCCTTCAAGCAGACAGGATTGGTTCCTCAGGTTTGTTCCATATGAAACCCTGGAAGTCTGAACCAGTGTTTTTGACTCCAAGGTTTAATAGTCTGCCGTGGTGTTACCTGCTTGTCATTACGTGCACATGGATACCTGATCAAGGTAAAAAAAAAAAACTAAAAAAAAACTTGTGAGCTTGTGAGCAAAACAATTAAACCCCCTGTTCTACACTTTGCGTTTAGCTTGGCACTTCTCTGCTGTGTGTCTGAGCTGGCATCCACAGCTGCTGCTGCTGTCTTCGTCAATACATCTTTTCATTACCAAGGTGTGTGTGTGTGTGTGTGTGCTCGCAGCCCCCTGTGGAGCTTTCTTGTTAGAGGGAAGCTGTGAGTCAGGACTGCTTGCCTTTCAGCTCGCGGTTGTTGAGGAAGGATAACAGATTTAGAAAACCACTTAGGAGGGGGTTCACTGTCTGTGTTTGTGCTTCGGAGCAGTGCAGGAAACACGACCGGAATGCAAAACCGATGAGTGAAGATGTGGCTAAGACTGAATAAAATGGTCGATACTGACAAATGCAAGATGTATAAATGTGCGTTTTTCTAAAACTTCCGGCTCAACGAGGAGAAGGGAAGAGATGTGACGTTACATCTACTGATTTCTAGTTCACAGGCAGCTTGTGAAGCGTTTTGGGAACGCGCTATAATTAAGAGGATGACCTAGAAACAATCCCTGGGTACATGTGAACCACAGAGGAGTGCACATAATGGGATTAAAATCACTGCTTGCCAGTTGAAAGCGTGCACAGGTAAAATGTACACTAAATCTATCAAGCTGTGGCAGTATGACAGCAGCACCTGAAGTCTTTACATCAAGGAGTCACAGGTTTCCAACCAGGCAGCTCACTGACTATACCAGGACTTGTTATGACAAGCTGGTGCAGCACAACGTGACCCGCAGGGATTTGAGCTCCAGCTTATTGAGACATTTTTATGTTATCAGTGGCAGAAGACATATCAGCCACCGTACGCACAACACATACATCTCAGCTGTGGGTTTCTCCTTTGATCGGTAGTGACACCTTCTTGGCAGGTTTCAGGTATTTGTATACCTGAGGAAGGAAAGTTAAGGATCTGTAGAGACGTGAAATTATTGTGTTGATAATTGATTTATTAATTAGCAGATGGACAGAGGTGCTTTGAGCAAGAATTAAAATGCTATTTTATTGACAATCCTTTTGAATGATGCAGTAATATAACATCTTTCAATTTGTTATAGTTTTGAAATAAATATTAACCACAAACCACGATATTATAAAGACTCTTGTAGTCATATGATCTAATTCTATAACTCGGCAGAAGCCATATAGTTAATAAATCATTATCAAATAAATTAGAGATAAATTGTAAATAATTAATAGAACAAAGTTTGGGTTGCCAGGTTGTGAAAAAAGTTTTGACTGGTTGCACTGACCTTGACCAAAGCCAGGATGTATTGAAACCCATTTATAAATTAATTATAAGTTATTTAGATTTAGTGCCCATTGAAAAGTCATCTAGAAGGTAGAAGATCACCAGATTTTAGAGGAAGCTACTTTCTCACTGTACCCACTTTCCATGGCTTTTGCAATTACCTCAGCTCCCTGACAGAGAACGAATACTAGCACTGATCTTAATGTCTTGGGTTCTTCTACAGCTTTACTCTCTCCTCCAGCTCCTTTCTTCTCACCCCTTGGGACCCCCCTTTCTCACCTCCAGCACCAGCTCTGTCATCTGGAACCTCTTCTGCAGGCCCTTGTTGGCTGGAAGAGGTTCATGGTAGAAGAGGCACAGCAGGTCGTATCTCTTCAGAGCCTTCTTGTAGTTGCGTTCGTTGATGTCCAGCACTCGGTCCTTCCCGTCAAAATTAGGGAACTCGAGACCTTCCTCGGCACTGCAAAGGAAAACCAGGTGAAGGCACAGGCCGGACAGAAGAGAGAGCCAGGCTTGCTGCATTGTGGTTCAGCTGTGGAGGTGTTTGCAAGCCAGGGTGAAGTTTGCAAAGAAATCTGAGAACCTCTCCAGACCAAACTTGAGGAGATGTGCACGGGAGCTAAAATTCATCCACAGATTTGATCGCTATTACTTCGCCAGCAAATGTGAAATATTCTCCCTAATTGTTCATCACGATTTCCACTGTCTCTGCTTGCTCCCCTCTGATAGCTCTCCACCTTTCTGTCTCCTCCTCTCACCGTCATTTAGTCTTGCTGCTCAAATCTCAGGAGGGTCTCTTCACTCCTCCTCTTCTCTTCCCGACTGAGAAACTGTATGGAGCGCATTTCAAGGATGATCATTGAAGAGGCTTTCCATTCATGTCCTTGAAATACATTTAGAAATGAGAGAAGAGAAGCTGTTGAGATTTCATCAGCCATTCCATCAGTAATGTCATTATTCATATGAAGAAATAAAATATGATACGAGGCTGTGTTATGTATTTGAAAATGATATGGGATTAATGATTAATGAATGAATGACACATTTAGGGGATGTGGATGTAATTGTGAGACAATTTGAGAGGAATATCCCTTTAATTCCGCGTTGACCTTCTCTTCTAAGCGTTACGGTATGTCTAAATGAATTTGGCTGTGCGCATTACCGTACTGGCAGCACTCAGGCAAAAGTAACAGATCCCCGCTTTGGTCTGCTCTCCAGACAAAGCTGGAGGATAGAAGGAAAATGGAGCGCTGGTGGCTGTGGAGCTTTTTATTACTGGTTCAAGTTTGTGACTTGAGTGCGGTTGGTGCTTCAAGTAAGATTTTGTTTTTTAAAGAAATACAGCTCTTGAAGGTATTTTAAAAGCAACAGTGAGACTTCGCTGCGTTTAGTTTCGCTGTGGCTCTTTGAGAAAACTTTTGAAATAGGACTCATTCAGGAGCTAGCTAACAACCCGGCAGCTAACTCCTCTGAGCTAATTCATAGGTTTGCATGAATTGTGGTTAAAAGTTCGCAAACAGAAACGATATAAACAGTATGTATAACTATTAAGGTGGTTTTATTTACTAGGGCTGAGCGAGGGTGCGCGACCAGTAACAGGTAACTGCTAATTAGCGCTAACCGGTGTATCGATACGACCCGGCGTTCAGGATCGATTAGTTTCCACGTTAACCTTTGACTGTTGCTGTGATCGTCAGTGGTGTGTTGGTAGTCAGGACAGCTGTTGGAAAAGTTAAGGATATTTTAGAGCATACAGACACCTCTCTGACCAAGAACCTCATCAGTCTGGGATCACTTCAAACTTTCTGGGCGGTTAGTGGTTCCAGCACAAAGACCAGATCGCCTCCTGGCTTTACCAGCTGCTCAGACCTTTATCCAGCTTCAGTGTCCAAACTGATGAACCACGAGTCAATGAACTAAAAAAATTGCATAATCCTGCTCTCTCACTAACTGCTTTTTCCAGGTGGAACCATCCAGAATGAGCTTCACAGCCCAACAGGTTTATTTACCTTCAAGAGCAGCTTCTCAGGCATTAACACAGCACACCATATGTCCTGCTGTCGGCTGTAAGAACGAACACAAGAGTATTCATGCAGTCCCAGCGTCGCGGAACTAAAATACAGTGGATTACTTTTGTGTTCGATGGCAATGTCATCGCACCAAAACTGAAATCCGTTACCATGAAATCCGTTACCATTAGCTTTGATGGTTTTGAGTTTTTTGTTCCTGCTGTCTGTCAGACAACAGATCAAATATGGAACAGTGACTGAATCGTGGCCCTTTAGGACTACATGTTAGTTACTTGAGAGACAAATACTGGGTGTGTACTAGTTTTATAACAGTTACATCATCTGACTGCGTTAAAAACAAGAGCTGAGAATTCAACGATATTTCCATGTCGAAGGATCACTCAGAGAAAGTTAGAAAAGGTCTCACACATTCGTTCATGTCTGTGGTGAAGCTGTGTGGTGAACGACTCCACCAGTCGCAGGGAGACTCTGTCTGTTTAGAACAGTGGTAGAAACAGGGGTTATGAACCATCTTTGAAGCATTCTGAGATGAACATTGAAAGACGCACCCTTGACTTTGATTAATTTGCAGAAATATGGAAACATGGAACGCCATAGCACCCAAATCTCTTAATTTCCAGTTGTACTCTCCTACACCGTATTACACTGACTTCATGTCAATGTCCATGGTTTTGTAATGCGATAGTGACAGCTACATGATGCTGTAATGCTTGGGTGTCCATATACTCTTTGCTATATAGTGCACGTTTTCCATACTTCCAACACTAATGAGAAACATCATCAAGTACCTGCGTTTAAATGGTTCCCTCTGTGTTTTACAAAACAGCAGCTGATCAAATTATCTCACTGAGTGAATTTTCCTGTGATGTATTGGTCAGATCAGTTTGCTTCTCTTCCCTAAGAGACCAGGCTGGCTCTTTGCTGCATGTCTTGTACCTGTTAGGTCCTGAGTCCAGTCTTGAGGCAGTGGTGGTTCACTGCGTCAGTGTCCTGGGTGGTGCTGATGCTGGCATGGTGTCTTCAGAGTTCTTTTTGTTTTGTTTATTAATATGCGACTGAAAAATCTTTTTGACTTTTGTTTAGTTCCATTAATCAGATCCATTTGGCATTTTAATAAAAGTACATTGAGAAATTAAAGATTTTGAAGTATGTGTTTCCTTGAACGGATGCTGCAGCTCTATGCAGTGTTTAAGCTAAATGTTTCTGGTGCATGACACGGTCACTCAGACTCAGTGAGGTTAAGCTGAGTGGAACGACTGTGTATGTCCAAACCTACAAAATGCACACTTTTTGTGAAGATTAGCAAGTTGCAAACTGTTGAAAAGGCTATTTTTAGATGTTTTATTCTCATTAACAGTGATAATGTCAGTTTTGTGTTTCTTGATTAAAATGACATAATTTGAAAATCTCCTCTGACACAATTTGCCATCTGTTGTTGTTGTTGCAGGAAAGCAGTGGAAAAAAATCAGAGAGAAGATTTCTGATGCTGTTAACGGGTACAGTCCATGCAACCCTGTCAACTGTAGCTGCCATCTGAGGTGGGTGCAGTGCCGCCTTATTCCCGCTGTACATCGTACTGTAATGATTATATAGCAGTCTTTATTTGCAGAGCAGTTTGCTAAACCAAAGTTACACAGTGCTTCCTACAGCAGCATAAATAAAGACAGAAAAAAATGAATATAGTATTGGAAAAGGTAGTATTTAAAAGAAGGAATTCAAAGAAATTTAAGGGAATAAATGGAAATTTAAGGCTCTCAGCTGAAAGTATGATTCAAGAAGGGACTTAGACGAGTTGTCTGACTCAGCCCACCTGACTTCCTGAGGCTGATTGTCAGTTAAACGCTCTGGCCCCTGGAATAAACAAAAGGATAGTAAAATAATTATCGGGAAACCTTTATATTGCAGTTGTCTAAGTGTCAGAGATGCACTCTTAACTGATGAGACTTACATACTTATATTATCACGACTAACGTTCTATTCAGAAATATAAATATTGCTGTATTGTCTCTGAGCTGGTTGGGCTTTAAGTCAGTAATATGAACCTAATCACTTCCCTCTGGTTTCTGTCTCAGTGTCCTACAACATGACTTGCAGCCCTTTAAAGGAGGAATCTCTGAGGATTTCATGGCTGCTACGGTCAAGAGAGGGGTGGGCACTCACTACCAGGTCATTGGACACAAGTTGTACAGAGAGCGCAACTGTATGTTCCCGGCTCGGTGAGGAGGAAAAGTTCCTGGTGTCATTATTATTTGATCAAAAGAGAAGTTCTTGTTGAAGTCGATTGCTGAAGTCCGTCTCCTGTTTTCAGGTGCAGCGGGGTGGAGCATTTCATTCTGGACGTGATCGACAGGTTACCTGACTTGGAGATGGTCGTAAATGTCAGAGATTACCCTCAAGTCCCGAGCTGGGTTCAGCCAACGCTGCCGGTCTTCTCTTTCAGCAAGGTCAGAATGTGGGCAGTATTTTTATGCGCACTGACAAACACACACAAATGTTTCTTCAGTGCATGAAATGTTTTTGACATGTCAGTGTTGGATTTAAGTAGACCTCAGACTACCAGGACATCATGTACCCTGCATGGACGTTTTGGGAGGGCGGACCTGCCGTGTGGCCCATATACCCCACTGGACTGGGAAGATGGGATCTGATGAGGGATGACCTCAGAAAGTAAGGACGAGAACACGTCAGCGCTGTCGTGAACTGTGTGTTGATCGTTGCTGAGATTGCAAACCAGCTGGTTTATTAGTCAGCTGAAACTAAGTGAGAACTGTTGTCATAGTGCTCCCTGATAGTGAACACGTCGTCTTTGAGTTTTGGACTGTTTTTTTTGGACAAGCCTTTTGAAGACATCTCATTGGGTTTGTGAGAAAATATGATGGACGTTTCCAGTATTTTCTGCCCGTTTATTATTATTAAATGACAAGCAAAACAACAGGCTGATCAAGTGATGACAAAACAAATTACATAAGAGTTTTTAACCAATTTTGATGAGTTTCCTTATAGTTTTAGTTTATTTATCCAGAACATACAGTAAATATTAACCTGTTGTATCCAGATGGGTGATTTAACTGGGCTCCTGTGTTTCATCTCCTCATGAAGAGAATACTTTTTGTGAGATATGGTTTTAAATTTTACTTTAATTGTCACTCAGTCGATTGATCTTTTTGATGACACATGGCTATCCGCTTAATCACAATTTAAGAAAACTGATTAGTGGAACATTTAAATGTAAAGCATGTGTTGTATATGACTTTATTCTTGTCACATTAGGTCTGCAGCACAGTGGCCCTGGAAGAAGAAAGAGTCCAGAGGATTCTTCAGAGGCTCCAGGTCAGTCTGTTGACACTGTGTACTCAGAACATAGTCAGACCTGCTACATTTTCCTACATTACATCTGCTCGCTGCTCAGGACATTTGTGCCCAAGTGTTGTGCACCCTGACCACTTGGCTATCATGTTGCTTTGAGAGTAAACTCATTGGAGAGAAAAAAAACAGTCTGCACCAATGTAAATGGTTTTCTAACGTCAGTTATCTGTTCTCTGTTTGGTAGAACCAGTGCAGAGCGCGACCCTCTTATCCTTCTGTCCAGAGAAGCTCCAGAGCTGGTGGATGCAGAGTACACCAAGAACCAGGCCTGGAAGTCTGAGAAGGTCGGTCACACTGAAACCACATCACATGTCTCAGCGTTCAAACTCAGGACAAGGGTTGTAATGCACTGGATTCTCCCATGAAATCTAAAATGGACGCCGCTCTGCTCGACCATTAACACATGAAGTATGATCCAAAGCTCCACTGTCACACAAAGACCAGTAAAGCCTGGTTGATCAGTTGTTCAGCACTAATGCCCATCAAGTTGTTTGCTGCTTTATCCAGGCTTTGAGAACTAGAGACGGTTTGTCCACGGCAAATGTGTCGCTATAGTTCATCAGAAAGCATTCGGCACCTTTTTTTTTTCCTATGAACTACCTGAGAGGCAGATGTGAAATTCTCCAGAAGGATGCACAAAACGCTGCCGAGCAGCCTGAGAATATTGGACTGAAAACAGAGTTAAACACTGAGGGGATGAGCAAAGGAAAAGAGAGCAGTTGGTGGTTGTAGACAGGCTGCAACACTTAAGAGACAGTCTGGATTAGTTTCTGTCCCGAGTGTTAACAGGAAGTTCACCGGGTTTGGTGCTGATTGTATGAGAAGGGAAAACTTAGGCAGACTTTCAGGCTTCTTTGCACTTCAGAAGAAAAAGCTGAGATTGTCCTCTGTGCACATTTTGTTCCACTGGAGCTCAGAATGTAGTGAATGAGTTGTCAGGTTGTCTCTACAGCGCCCTCTAATGTTCATTTGATGGTAAGGCAGCAGGACATTTCTTAAAACCATGCAGTTATATTTTTGTTAATGAAAAGGCAGTTATTTAATGCAACTCATTACCTGTGCATACTGTGTCTCTTGCCAGTGTCAGGGTATTATTTTTCACCTTCAGACTTATTAAAAACTTCTTATTCCAGTGATAATCTGGAGATCGTAATAAGTAAATCTGACATGAAAATCCACTAGACTGACTTTCAGATTCTTCCCAAGTCATTTTTTACAACACTGACAAAAACAAAAATCTCTCTGAAAGTTGCTCTGCCATGTTTATGTGCCAATCAGTAGTTTTCTCTCTGTTTCAGGATACACTCGGGAGACCCCCAGCCAAAGAAATCCCTCTGGTCGATCACTGCAAATACAAGTAATCACCAAGCTCTGTTTCCTTTGGAAGACATCACGTAGCATCGTCCCAGCTGCTGGACCTCATTCTGATGAGAATCTGCAGCTCCAGATGGTGTAGAAGCATTAAAAAATATACAATCTCATCAAATTTCCCTTCTTTCTCTCCAACTTCTGCAGGTATTTATTCAACTTCCGGGGTGTGGCGGCGAGCTTCCGCCTCAAACATCTGTTCCTCTGCGGCTCCTTGGTGTTTCATGTGGGGGATGAATGGCAGGAGTTTTTTTACCCTCAGCTCAGGCCTTGGGTCCACTACATCCCAGTCAGGCAGGATCTCTCTGATGTCAGGTACCTCAGCTTGTGCCATCTCCTCCCAGACGCTCTCCTCAGATGTGACGATAATCCTTTGTGTTCATTCTGGTCGTTCTGTACGCTAAATGTTGATTTGTCTTCACATGTCCTGTGTCCTCAGAGAGCTGCTACAGTTTGTCAAAGAGAACGATGACATCGCTCAGGAGATCGCCACGAGGTAACAGATGATACCTTCTGATTGAACTTTGATGGAAATACACTGCAGCAGCCATGTTATTGCTTAAGCTTTGTCCCTGTGTGTGACGTCTGTTTGCCTTCCTCTCCACAGGGGTCAGGACTTCATCCTCAACCACCTGCGAATGCAAGATATCTCCTGCTACTGGGAGAGACTCCTCACCGAGTTTAGCCAGCTTCTCACCTACAAACCTCAAAGAAGGAACAGCTACAACCAGATTGTCCACAGACCCACTAAAACGGAGCTATAAGACAGAGACTCTGGGGGACCAGGGCAGCTGTAGTGAAGGAAAACCTCAGATCCTGAATGTAATTGCTGCACCACAGCCAGCAACGTTGTGTTTTGTTGTTGGTGTTCCATTGTTATCAAAAGCCCAGTTTAACTAAGGTGTAAAGTTTTGTCAGGACTCTTTTTATTTATTTCTGTGGAGCGCACAAAAGCCCGTGTGTGTTCACAGGAATAACACTCACAGGACACAAAGGAGTGGTTGTCCATGGAGGCTTCTGCTTCTTCTTTTACATTTTGCTTCCAGAAATGAGCCCCGTTTCTGTCTATTGTCTGTCTCACCAGCGAAATAATATTTGAGATGTGCTTTTTCACTTTTTTAAAATACTCACTACAGGGGTACTCTAGAAATTTCACACATTAACTTTAGTTTACTCGTCATAAAGGAGACAGCTGGCCTAATTGTATAATGACTTATACGGCACTGAAAGGAACAGAAAAAATCCCTGATTATGTCTTAGTTTCGTCATGAAGGATAGTAGGTTTCGTCTAATTTTGAAAATATTATGTCCTGGCTTTGGAGGACCTAAAACACTTGAGGACATTTGAGTTATGGCAAAGATAACTGCTCAAGGATGTATCATCGTTATACTAATTGAGGTACTAATAGAGAGGCTGTCAGAGTTGCTGTGATGGGAGAATTTCTGGAAACTTAAAGGTCTCATATTGTGCCTCTTGTCAGCAAATTAATGAAAGCTTTACACGTCTCCACTCTGTGTTTCAGTTCTTCAGCTCCAAACACTGCAGACATGGTTCATTTCATCACGACTGTCTAATCCAGGGATCTCCAGCTCTGGCCCTCCTGAGCTACTGTCCTGCAGGTTTTCCGTTCTGCAACACACCTGACTCACATTAATGGATCTCCTCTGTTGTCAAGTTCTACACAAGTCTGTTGATGATCCATTGATCTGAGTCGGGTGTGTTGCAGAAACGTCTAAAACCTGCAGGACAGTCGCTCACGAGGACCGGAGTTGGAGATCTCTGGTCTAATCCCTGGTTTGTAGTTCTGTTTTAAACGAGCCCTGAAACCCAATGAGCTGCTGCTATTCCCGTCCGCTTCAGGAAGAACATGCCGTGTGTCTGTCACTGGTGGCTGAAGCTGTTACTCAGAACCTGGATTGAATTCTGACTGGCGTGTAAAGCTGGGAGGCTAACTAGCTGTGGGTGGGCCTGAGGAATGTCCTCCAGCAGCTTTTATTTCACACCTCCTAGTTCACAGCAACCACAAAACGTAATGAGAAGGGATTCTCACCGTATGGGACCTTTAAAGTTGGTATCTTGTGTGTCCTTTTTGTGGAGTTAGTGAAAGTATTCTGCCCAGGAACTCTGATATGTTCATCCCTATCTGCTCAGATATTATCAAAGCAGTGGCCATAATTGGTATATAATGTGAATAACAAGGAATATGTGACGTGTAAGGACAAGAAGAACTACTGTTGCATCCAGTATTTGAAATTGTACTCAGCTGTGACATTTAGGCATTTCTTGGTGGGACTTGAAGATTTTTTTAAGTATTATTTTAGTTTCAAGTAGTTTGAATATCTTTCTTTTTTTGCCATGGACAGTAAGGTTGAATGTAAAATCCATGGAAGACATACCTTGCTCCACTGGCCTTTCCAGTCCAGCAGACGTTTAACCAAGTTCGATTACAACAAATCTGCATTTGTATGTGGTCTTATTTTGGTTTTATTGCTTGAAAAATACAAGAGAATGACATTTCCTTTCACACAGAGTGCCAACAGTAAGCAATAATGTTCAGAGTAACACATTTTTTTACTCACATGTCTGAAGTTTCCAAGAAACACTCATGTTTGTAGGCTTTACCTGTTCAGAGGTAGCTGTCTTGGTGTTAAGAGACGACAGATGACAACATCGATACAGGGTCATGTTGAATATGTTGTAGTATTCACATTGTACTGTCAACAAGTAGATTTTTACTGATGTTATATTTTCCACTACTGTTGTAAACTGTGGCCCATTAGTGTACTGATTTGACCAAAAAAGCTGTGATCATGTGCCTGGTCAAAGTGTGACATTCAGGTTGTTGTCATAGCTTATGCAGCTTTTTTATTTTTTATTTTTAATCCCAATAAATTTGTTAAAGACATTCTGAAGCTGTCTTTGTCATTGTATTTTATATAGGATCAGTAGAGAGTATTTGAATGTCCTCATTTGAGCCAGCAGCAGCGCGCATGTTCGGTCCTCCAACCACAGGCGGCGCTGTGGTCGCTGCATCTGCGCAGCCGCACATCCTGGCCGGGTAAGAGGTCGATTCGGAGCGCAGGTGGGCTGTTGATAGAAAGTCAGTGGGGAGAAAACGGACGAAAGAAGGACAATTGTCAAAAACAAAATGACACACATTAATTTATATTAACCGGGGCGTCTCTGCTTCATAAAACAAACGGCTTGTTGTTGAAGAACTTCCGGCCGGCTGCTGGTGAGCTGCTTCTTACTTGTGATATGACAGATGCTAGCAGCATGCTAACTGCTAACACTGAGGTTTCCATTTTCGGACTTTAGCTTTTTAGATAAAGTCACGAGTAATTTATCATCAGCTAAATTAAACATTTTCTCTACATATTGTGAACAGTTCAGATGTAAAGGGATGTGGTAGTTTGTCGCAGCAAAGCGGTTGGGTTTTAGCCTAGCTAACAGCACCGACAGAGCGAACAGCTGTACAGCATTACACTGATGAGCAAAAATCAACAAGCTCATGAAAACCTTGAACGTTGGAAGAGCCAATACGTACACGGTGATTTGTATCCCCAGCTGGGCGCACCGTTCTCTGCATGTCAGTCCTCTGGTCTCCTTAAACTATTTACTGTCTCTCTTCACTGCATCATGTCAAATAAAGGTTTAAAATGCCACCAATAAACCCTTAAAATGTCAAACTAAATTGGATAATGACATGTATCTGAAGTAAGCAGTTGTTAAAATTAAGAAGCTATGAGCAGCAAATGGTGGTGACTGAAAAATTAAGGATGAAAGAACAGAAAACAGGGATTGCCGGTCTTGATTGTTTGAGAAAAGCCTTCAAGGATATGGTGATAATTTCTGTTAACCTCTCCAGCGCACTGCTAAAACGGTCCCCAGTAATGCTTGAGAAACTGTATGGTTATCAAAGCAATGTTTTTAAAGTCAAGATTCAGCTCAATATCCAATCTGAAATGGATTTAAAAGGTGTGATGTCGCTTTACAATATGAGACACCATCACACAAGGAAGACGACATGAATTTGGAAAAACCGCTGGCATGGCAGTTCAACCGGGCTCAGAACGCTGCATGATGTATATCTAAAGTTACAGCCTTTGTGATTTGGTAATTGCCTTGTTTCAGATTGCAGTTTCGATTTGAAATCAATGAATGGCTCAGCCCTAGTGCCCGGTGTGTTCTGATCTGGCTGCAGCCTTTAACAGCTGCTGAGCTGGACGGGCTGTGTTGCCCTGTCAGGATTTCATCAGCCTCACGGCTATTTGTTTTGATGGAGCCTAACTGGAGGCAGTGAGTGCAACATCTCAACCCGTGACCATGTGTTTCTGCCTCCCTACTGCAGCCCAAGGCCAGCTGAAGCGTGATGCAGCCAGAGCAGAGCAGAACAGGCTTTGGCCTGCAGAGACGACCGGCAGATTCAGCCCCCCTGGGCATGCAGAGCACCGGCCTGCTGCGGGGTCTCATCCAGAGCGCCAGGCCCCCTTTCTTCTGCTTCCTGCTCCCCAGGGTCCATGCAGCTGATGTGGCTGCTGCCCAGCCTTCACAGATGCTCTCCTCCTCCTCCTCCTCCACCTCCACCACCACCTCCTCCTCCTCCTCCTCCTCCTCCACCAGCCCAGCTCCTGTACTCGCTCCGTCTCCCAGCACCCTGCCAAGGAACTTTGGCAAGCCAGAATTCCCAGACACAGGATGGGGACGCATCAAGGGCCTCTTTAACAAAGAGTTAGTGTTCATCAGTCGGTTGTTTTTCTTTTATCATCTCGCTCACCTTAAAAAGCCTAAAATATAAACCACCTCGCCACCATTTAAACTGTAGGTTCTCAAATGGAACATGTTTCTCTCCTTGTAGTGAATCACAGAGATACCCAGAGGAGTTGACCAATGTGATGAAAAGCGGCTTTGTTGCTGCCATGGCAGGCCTTTTGTATGGGGGCCTGCCAGCGGCTCGCTACGCCAGAGAGAGGTACATCCAAGTCAGCCAGGCAGAAATGTACAGTAGTCGTGTGGAAGCAGTGGTAAGTGAAACCCATAAGTGTGGATGTGCCCTTGAATGCTTCAAAATACTTTGTGGAACATTTGTTACAACGATGTCAAGTTAAATTATAATTTTGCCGTCTTATCTTTAATTTTTAGATTACATACCTGTGGAGCAGTGTTGTGATTTGTTTTAAATGATCGTCCACAGTGGTCTACATTGAAAGATTAACCCTATATGCCAGTGTACCATGTTGTGCTGGCAGGGCACTGGGTGCACTTCATACCAGCGCCTCATCTAAAAAGATGCTCCCACGCTGCAGGGCTTTTTTTCTGACAATATCTTAAGAACATGTCACCATTCTGTCATTACATAGTAGATGCGATTTGCTCCCTGAAGATGAGTGACAGTAATGACACCAGAGTTTTCACAGAAGTTCAGAGGTTTTCAACTAGAAGGGCCTCCAGCAGCTGCACAAAAATCACAGAGTGCTCTGACAAAGATGCTTTTTTTCTAGGGACCAATCTTCATGAAGAACAATTGAAAAAGATGTTATATAGAGACTCAGCCTAATCCTAGAACATGCAGAAGAATATTACAATGACTGTTTAAATGTAAAGTTACAGTGACACATAAATAGCCACATACTTCTGAAACATTTTAATGTGATATTCATCCGTTACACTCTTTAGTTTTTAATAATGCCTTACATTGTATTTTTTATTCATTTGTGTTTTTCACATTGTGTGTGTTGTTTGTTTCTATGAAGTGAACTGGTGGCTAAAAGGAATCAGCACTGGGGTTTTAATAAAGCTGTCTAATCCAATCGTGGTGTGTTGTGTCTTTTCTATCAGCGCGCGGCACACAACGCAGCTTTCCGGGGTTTTATGAGGTATGGATGGAGATGGAGCTGGAGAGTGGCTGCGATCGTCACCATGTTCAGGTGAGCGATATAGGTGGAGCGTGTGAGTAGGTGTCTGATGGAGGGAAAATTGTGTTTTATGTGGAGTAACCTTAACAAGGGAGAGATTTTATTGTGTCTCAAAGCTGAAAAGAACAAATAAACTGTGTGTATTGTACAACATACAACAGTGGTGAGTACACAGTGCAGAAAATACTATTTAAATGTCAGTTGCTTCAAATTTGTATCCATCCATCCATTTTTGATGAAAACAACTCAGACAGTGTGAAGGACATTGCATAACATCAGCCTTTGTGAACACTGTCCAAGAAAAAACATTGCTTGCTTTTTGGCAAAAAAAACTGCAAGATCAAACTTTACTTAAGAACATAAAAAGGAGCTTGATGAATATTGGGAGCACATTATATTTCCGATTAGACCAAGATTACCTTGATTGGCTTAGATGGCACGAAGGTAGTGATGATACGGGAGTCCAAGAGTGCTCAAGGTGTCGGGGAGATGATTTTCAGATGAATGCCTGTGGATGTACCAGAATGCTGGCTGACACACTGACACACTGATGTAAAAGTTTGTAAAGAAGAAGAAAGTGACAGCTATGACCTGGCCAGGTGTGTTGCCTAATTTGAATCCAGTAAGACACCTTTGCTGGATTTGGAAAAAAGAAAGGCAGAGCAACACAACCCTTCCAGCCAAGAGCAGTCGATAAAATGGCCTCCTCTGAAGACAGCCACAACATCTCCAGAAATTAGCTGAACACTGGTGTCCTCCTAGCTGAGGAGGCTTGAGTCTTTTCATCAACAATGTAGTTGGACTTCAAAAGTACAAAAACTAAGATGATTGAATGTAATTGTTTTGAGTTCCTGCTGTTGGGCCTGTAGTTTCAACACAGTAAATCTAAACTACAAATACCATGCTGTTCTGTTTATAAATAACACAGTTGTTGTCAGGGGATACATTTAAGTCATATTGCACAGGGCTGTACTCACTTGTGTTTGTTGACTTTTCATTTCTGCTGCTCATCTTCATAACTGTTGGTTTCATATGTGTCTCTGTTCCTTCTCCCTTCCCACTGCAGTTCTGTCAGCACCGGACTGTCTGTCTACCGAGACAAAGATGCCGTCAGCAATTATGTTGTAGCTGGAGGTGAGATGTTTGGGCCTGTTGACTGGTTTTATTTCGTTTCAGGCACACATACAGTGTTTGTACAGTTGACTTTTGTTGCTGCTGTGTGCCGACTGCCTGCAGTTTTATGTATAGACTATAGTGTTGTGTTGGATTTCTGATCTGACCCACCACGAGAAAGACTTCATGAAAGTTTGAGAACACATGCTTTTGTTTAGTGAGAAGAATCCTGTTTTTATCAGATGTGTTATGGCTTCGATCAGTCAAAGGGCTAAGGAGATGGTTTTATTAAAGTTTAACTCCTCAATATTTTGAATATGAAATACTCAAAAGATTCATGAACACAAAACTAGGAACGTGGAACACTGATTGTGCACTGAAGGATTTGTTTTGGTGAAGTTGTGTTGATAACAGCAAAGTGATCATTTGTTTGAAATGTGACACATGGCTTCTCAGGATATTTATCTCCAGGAAGTTGACAATATTGTCCTTTCCTTACACGACCAGGTTCCTGGGGCACTCACTGGTCGGGTGATAACTATGAACTACAAGTCGTGCACGTCCTTCCCCATGTCTCCACCCTCGCTTCTGCCACCTCTCTACTGCAGCTGTGTTAATATAGGCATAAAAATGACCATGTTTAATAGAACCATCTCCGTAGTGTAATTTCATATTGTTACAGCTTGTATGTCTGCCCACTTTCTGATATACTAGAGTGACAGTCTTTCAGTGAAATAGTTCTAACACACTGTCCAGCACGCTGGCCTCTGATTGATGATGAAACTCTGTATGTGAGCAGCTGTCACTGTGGGCCTGTTCAGACTGAACCTGGGACTGAGAGGGCTGGTGGCAGGGACCATCATCGGAACAGTCCTGGGGTAAGGTTGCCTTCTGCTTCCATAAGCATCCAGTGATCACCCAAACCGTCCATGGAATCAACTTTTTACAGCTGATCTGATCCAGCATCCTCAGTTCTCAGTACTGGGCTTAGTTCCATTGTCAGACACTGCTGTGCATTTATTTACACAGACATGCATATGCGATCATGCATGTGTGCGTGTCCACATTCATGCTAGTGCGCTGAGAGCAGTGAGCACTCTGGCAGCCAGCTGTGCTCCTCCCAGCAACCCTCTGTCGCCCAGCTGAACCCCTCCACTCCCCCACCCCGCTTCCAAGTCTGTTCACGCTGCCAGAGGGACTCATGTGCACCGCAGAGGGCCATGTTTTGGGTAGTAAAGCAAGGAGGCAGGCCAAGGCAGCAGCTGCCCCTCTCCATTTATACCATCACTGTTATTCCAGCCTTTCATCTCCATCTACCACAGTCTGATCTGGACTGGTTGGGACTTCACTTTGTCTTATCTCCCTTTCCTCAGCTCACTCTTTGTACTTTTCACCTGTTCCGGCATTCAGCTGCGTGCACAGAGCTAAAAGCAGATTGAATGGTGGAAATTGGGTGTGATGTGTTTGATGGTGTAACAGGATGGAGGGGCTCGTTTGGACCGTGATCATGGCGTCCCTCTATTGGCTCGTCTGTTCTCCTATTGGCTGTCCACTGCCAGTGTCTCCTCCTCTCACTATGTGCCTGAGTGGTCAGCCACCTGGAGCGTTTGATGTGTGCAAACAGCTCCGGCCCTGCTTCTGCCAGGGGCAGTTGAGGCAGAGAGGGGGTGAGATGAACGCAGGCAGATAATCGCAAAGCACATCACGCTCCAGATCTTGCCCCAGAATCATTCCCTTGTCTGGACACGTAGAAGAGGTGTGACTGGAAGGTGGGGTGGCTTTGCAGGGTGTTGGGGTGAGACTTTGTAAGAGACTGCTGAAAGGAAAATGGACCTGATAACTGCTGGGACGGGTTCTACTTTGACAGATTATGTAAGAGCAGGAACTGTTTTAGGGAGATATTACACACTGTGGATGTGTCCAGTAAATAGTCAGCTGGTGTGTTTTTATGGAATGTTTTAGTGAAGAACTTGGTTTGATCTGTGATGTAAGTTGCAGCAGTGCCAGACTCCAGAGGGCCACAGGAACAGAAGCACGTCCAGCTCCCTTCTGCTTTATTCATAACGCTAACAGTGTGCACTCTGAAAAACCATCTCACGTATTTAGAATGCACATACACTTTATTTGTAATTACATAAGCTGACTTCTGCACAGGATTCCTGTTGGTGGTTTGATCATCGGTTTGCAGTATCTGACTGGAGAAACTATCCGAGAGAGGAGGAGGAGAGAGCACAGAGAGCTCTATGAGCTCAAGCTCGCAGAATGGCAAGTTGTTGTTGTTTTTTTATTCAGATTTTTGATGGATAGTTCAACAAGCATTAAAAAAATAATTGAAAATTGCTTGTTGTCCTGATGTCTCTCTGTTAACCCGTTACTCTCCTTCTTTCCAACGCGCAGGACGGCCCGTCTGCAGCTGACGGATGAGTTGATTGCTGATCTGGATGTTAGCTCTCAGGCAGAGGAAACAAATAAGGACGTGCAGAGGATCAAGGAACTGCTGAGTTTACCACAGAATGAGGATGTGAGCAAGGACTGAAGCAGCCAATGAGAGTGGCTGCCTTACTACCTGATATCCATTGGACATTGAAGGTGGGACTTCAGAGAACTGTAGGGGTAAATCAATCCTTTCTTTGCTGGGACTCTGCACATCTTTCCAACAGATTCACATCAGGATTTGAAGACACTGCTGAGCATCACCAACGAGAGTCGCCTCAGCAAGCTGCTGAGAACAAATGTGGAATGGACTACAGGAATGTCACAAGTCTTCAAATATTATTTCCTGTTAGGTTTGTTCCACAAAGTTCACATTGACACCGTGATAATAAAGCTCAAATTAACTGAACATAAAGCGTGAGGTGGACTGAATGTGGTGCTCATATCAGTAGTGGTCTGATCTTCTAAGGATTGTGTCTTGTGTGTTTTTTTTATCATCTGTGTATTTTATCTGTGGTTTACTTTTGATTTGCCTCCTGGGCTTTTCAGCAACTAGGTCAAACATAGTCTTGGCCCCTGGTGTAAACAAGATGTGACACAGCAACAGCTGGGGCCCAGGATGCAGCTGTGGCTGCTGATGTGCAGATGGACAGCCAATAGATTGACCAGTTTGTGTTCAGGAGTGCAGGGACTCCGCTGTGATCGTAACTTCAGGTAACGTCACACATCAGAAACTACTGTTGATGTATTTTCACCTGAAGTATGCTTTCACGCTCACGGAGGTCGTCTCCAGAGGTAAGCGTTAGAATCTCATTTTACCTTTAACTTTTCGTGGCAGCATTTTAGAGTTATGAGGATATATTTATGTTTTAAACCATTTTGATTGGGGCAGTTCTTCCATGCAAAAGTCTACTTTCAGACGTTTTCCATTAAATCTTTGAATGACAGTCTCTCGGTTAAACTGGTCGCATCACAACATGACCAATACGGCACTTGTGTGTTCCTGCTGCACTGTCATAAAGCCACTCTGTGGGACAGAGACACAGACAAGCAGTGTAAGCAAACCAATATGGAAGAATTCATGTCATCTATCAAGTTGTTAAATTCGGCTTCATGGGCAACTTGTGAATGTGTTGGATCATCTCTCCTCAATTCCGTTATCATTTTCTTCAACAGCTAATCGTAGGAGACTGTTGCACAGCTGCTACAATGAGAGTAAACATGTTTGTGGTGTCTCAGCTCCCTCTACTGGTGGCTTTGTGTAACTGAAGTGTTTCCCAAATGAACTGACACATAAACGTCTATCATTCATAAATTAAATGCATCTTTGTTGGTTTTAAATGTGGCAGTTAGTCGTAATAACATCTGACATGACAGTAAAGCTCTAAAGGGCATAATGCAGTGTTCATAGGTACTTACAGCTTGTATTTCTGTGTTTTTCTCTCTTGTGTTGACTCTCGTGAAGGTTTTCAGATGACGATTGCCAATTTAAAAATCCATGTTTGAATCAACTCCAGGTTTTCTGCTATGATCAGGTTTTTCAAGAGGTATTGTGTGAGGAGCAGCAGCAGCAGTGCCTCTGAACAAACATAGCACCGTGATTTGAAAACTTTGGACTCGTGGCTCTGATTTCAGCTTAGGTAAGTCCATGTGTTGGGTGAGGTTCAAATTCCAGAAAAGTTGTGAAATGTTTTAACAACAGCATTAATTATGTTGACCAAGTCACCGTGAAGGATATACGTTGGGTCTTTTATCTGCACACGTGATTTGCAGAATTGCCAACAGAGCATGTGCACAGCGGCGATGTTGCAGGAATAAAGTTGACACGCCTTCGTGCTCATCTTAATAGCTGAGTTATTAAGAAGAGCTTGATTTGACCTTGATTGGTCAAATTGTGTCTGGGTCACGGTGCCCTCACACGGAATGACTGAGAGAGTTTATTCTTCAAATTGGCATTAACTTCAGAGAGGAATGTGAGGAATGTGTTTTACAATGGATGAACCACACAAGCAGTCATGCGCTTAATATTATATCTCGATCTCCTGTCCCCGCGGGCAGCTTAGAAGGCTTCCTTTCCAAGTTTTTAAAGATGCTAAAACTCATATTTCACTCACTAATTAGCATAAAACAAAGCATTATTGCACTAACACTAAAGCTGGTGAGATATTTAATTTCACTTCTACATGATTCTAAATTACGAGTCTCCATTAGTCGTAAGAGACTTGAAAGAGGGCGACAGGACCATACAGATGGTACCAGGATAGGACAAGACCTTTTAGAATAAAGTCATCTGACAGAGGATGAACAATGTGTTTGTCCTGAGTTTAATCTACTAGACGATCAGTTTCTGTATAAAGTCTTATGTATGTATGGATTTAGACCTGTTTTATTCTTGGAAAAATTAGATCACACATTCATGTTGATTTCATGTGTTACGAAGCAAAACTTCCTTCAACTGTACAAGGACGAGATGGGAACAATAGAGAAGGATGGCTTGAGCTCTGTGCTTATCCAAAGTCCAGGTCACTAAAAACTAAGAACCAGGTCAAGAATCTTGGTTTGATCATTAATGAAGATGTCATTTCTGTAGCGACATCAGAATTCCTCATTGTGGCATCTTACAACCAGCTGAGAAACTCTGTGTTGAAGAAAGTAGTGGACAACTGTAACGCACTCCTTCCTCCTGACCTGCTCCTCTAATGAGACCATGAGACAAATACCACGAAGAGAGAACATTACTTCAATGTTTAGATCCTGGCACTGGATCCCTGTTACATATAGGATTCATTTTAAGACCCTACTTATTGCCTGTAAGTCTCTGACTGATCTGGGACCAATTATGTCTGAGTTGTCTGCTGAATACGAGCCTGGAAGGTATCTGCTGGTCAGTTAGTGCTCAGAGGTCAGTCTGCTGAAACTGGGATTTGCCTCAAATGTAGAGTAAGCTGAAGACGGTGCTTTTCTGTGCTTCATTTAAGTAATGAGTGTTGTTATAAAGTCGGGTCTAATCTGCCTGTACTTTTAATAAACTTGTCTGCCTTTGAATTTCCTCTGTGAATGAAAGGATGCTACATAAATAATCCTGCTGGCTTACTTTTCTAGAAAGAACTACAACGAGGAAGGGCTGAAACCTGGCTTCTTGTGCAGACACGGCACCCCGGTTCAGAAGAGTCGGCATACATGTGGATCGGGTTAGAGGTCATCTTAAAACCTTTGATTCTGAACACTAGGATGCACATGAGCTAAGTCAATAAGCCATCTAACATTATTGCCATATGGGCTGGTCTCAGACTTTACTGGCTTGACAATAACTATGTTAAGAGATAACAGACCTGACACATTGTTGAATGCAGCGCTTCCCAGGCCTGTGGGTTAGCTGTGGTTATCATTTGACAGGAATACACAGCCCTTGTGTTGTGAAATATGATGGGATACTTTATTTTCTAATCTGCTGGGAATCCTTGATACGTTAACTTTAAAGCTAATGCCCATTATACATGTGTTTATGGTGCATGTCGTGCACTTTGCTGGCTGTTGAGTCACATCATGAACTGTCTATTTACTACTTTTGATGTATGTTTTGGGTCACTGTTTTCTTGGAACACCCAACTGCATTTGAGACCAACCTTCCAGCTGATGATTTTAGGTTTTCCTACAGAATGTGGAGGTAATCCTCCTCATTATTCCACTGACTTTGTGTAAAGCTCCAGTTCCTCTGGCTGCTAAACAGCCACAGAGTACAATACTACCACCACAGTGCTTGGTGGTAGGTTTGGTGTCTTTAGGGTTAATGTTCATGTGAGCAGCAGCAAACTTTAGTCGAGCCTGAAGGTGCCACTTCTGGAGAAAGGGCTTCTTTCTTACCAGGCAGCCCATGGCAATGTAGAAACATCTCTCAGCAGCAGGTGGCAGCTTGTGTTTTCTTCTTGATCGTGGCAGTGACCCATCTGTACCATGTAAACTTACAAACGGTTGTCATGACGTGTATGAAATTTACAAGCGTACATAAACTTTTATTCACGACTGCACATATACTTTATGCACATTTCTTCTGTAGGTGCAGCAGGATGAACCAGGAACGACCGGCAAGTGTTATCTTGTCTTTGCAGCGCTCATTTTGAAGATCCCTTCAGCAAGAACTCAAAGATCAAACGTTCTGTTGGATAACGGACATTGTCATCTTTTGTTATTGTCGCTGTCAACACCATGTAAGCAGACGTGAAAGTGATTGTTGTTACAGTCCTTATCCTTTATAAACATGTAAACAATCAGATAATAAATCTGTGGGAGTAAATTACAAAAATAAATGAGGTCATGTGTCTGTTTTCCAAATTATGAGATGCTGCAGTTTCCATATCAGGAGGTTTTTTTGCAAATAATGTGTTAGATTGTTGTACCACATGAGCCCAGTTAAACAGGAATTTAAATAGGTATTTGCAATAACGCTCTAATTTCTGTATTATCATTTCTATACATCCTGTGGTCACATAGAGGGTTTTTTGTTTACAGGCATTACTTGGTGTGTGCGCATTTAAGGAGCAAACCAGCATTGGTAGTCGGTCCACTGAGGCAGCTGTCGTCCAGTGTCATTCTACAAATAGAGTTTGCATTGCTTGTACATTCTTGTGGACTCAGTAATAAAGTAGGCATTGTGACGACATGATCAAAATATCCACTTGTCCTGTCGGTGGTTTTATTGTTGTCGCTATAATGATGTATTTTGTGGTCATGTGTCATGGTTGTGAGCACACAGGGATGTGGGCACTGGCAGACACAAATCACTGTCTTAGAGAACCACATGATTTACAATGACTCCCATAACTCTGCATTTTCTACCACGGAATCACCTAAAGCTATGCATCCCTGTCACAAAAAACAATCATACTTGCTGGTTGTTTAATAGATTCATTACAGGTCTTCTGGAAAAATCTGTTGGCTCAAAAATATACATCCAGCAGTCCTAATGTTTGCTTTAACATTCTTTGGCCATGTTCACCTCAGCTCAGTGCTTTTGGCAGCCGTCCACTAGCATCTGGCAAGCTTTTTGTTTTATCTTTGACCGCTCCACGTGACAGAATTGGTAAAGTTAAACTAAATTTGTTGGCTTCCTGACACAGACCCACAGAGCATAATACTACCACCTCTATGCTTGACAGTAGGTTTGGTGTTCTTGGTTCTTTGGTGCTGGCTCTGTTTTTCCCAGACGGCCAGGGGTTTGTCTTGGGGTTAGACAAAAGTTAAGACTTCTGCCTGTTTTTTGAGTAAACATTTTTACTTTAACCCCGGTACGCATGCCTCTGATTTACATACACATACAAAAGCATGAACGGTCTATCATTTTAATAGTACGTTTATTTCAACTATAAGACAGAATATCAACAAAATATATAATCGTTATAAATTCATTTCCAGTTGAGTATTAAGTATTTGATCCCTTTCCTTCCAGCAAGAATGCTGGCTCCCACAGATTGGTTATGTGGCTCATTCTGCTTCAGAAACTAATAATCTGAGCTGGTTACCTGTGCATGTATGAAGGAAACCTGTCCAAAGAGTCACACTTTGCACCTTCAACTTCACCCCCATGGGCAAGACCAAAGAGCGATCCAAAGACGTCAGAGACAAGATTATCGAGCTTAACAAAGCTGGAAAGGGCTACAAGACCATCAGCAGGCAACCTGGGGAGAAGGTGACAAGTGTTGGTGCGATCGATCGCAAATGGAAGAAAGACAAAACAACAATCAGTCGCCCTCGGTCTGAAGCTCCACGTAAGATCTCACCTCGTGCAGTGTCTCTGACCATCAGAAAGGCCAAGGAAGATTCCAGAACTGCACGGGAGGAACTTGTTAATGAGCTCAAGATCGCTGGGACTTACATCAAGAAAACCAGCGTTAATACACTGCATCCAATAGTTTGAAATCCTGTAGCACCCGCACAGCCCCCCTGCTCAAGAAATCACATGTACAGCCCTTCTGAAGTTTGTCAATGAGCATCTGAACGATACTCAGGAGGCCTGGGAGAATGTGATTTGGTCAGATGAGACCAAAATGGAGCTCTTTGGCATGAATTCGACTCAGCGTGTTTGGAGAGTCCTAATTACAACCCCAAGAACACCATCCCTACAGTCGAGCACTGAGGTGGAAACATTATGCTTTGTCCTGCACCGCATCAAGGGAACAATAAATGGGGCCATGTTTAGAGCAATCTTCAGCAAGAACCTCCTTCCCTCAGCCAAAGCATTTAAAATGGGTCATGGGTTGGTCTTCCAGCAAGACAGTGACCCAAAACATATGGCCAAGGCAACCAAGGAGTGGCTAAAGAAGAAGCACATTCAGGTCATGGAGTGGCCTAACCAGTCTCCAGATCTTAATCCGATAGAAAATCTATGGAGGGAGCTCAAGTTTCATGTTTTTAAGCAGCTGCCTCAGAACCCTTAAGCATCTGGAGAGAATCAGCACAAAGGAGTTCTCTAAACCACCACCTGAGATGTGTGCAGATCTGGTGGCCAACTACAAGAAATGTCTGCCGTCTGTGTTTGTGAGTAAGGGTTGCTCCACCAAGTACCACATCATGTTTTGCTGGGGAGATTAAGTACTTATTTCCCTTGATCAACTGGAAATTATGTTATAATATGTTTTTCTGGATGTTTTGTTGATATTCTGTCTCTTACAGTTAAAATAAACCTACCATTAAAATGATAGACCAAAAATCAGTGTCCAAAAAGTCCAAAATCATGAAATATGCAGGGGATCGAATACTTCTTTCAGCAAGGTGATACATCCATGTGTTGTTGCCTGTAAATATGTGCAGACAGGCAGAATATACTGCTTTCCTGGGGGTAAGGTACATTACTGCTGTTACAATTCCCCCTCTCCTGAGGCCCTACAGGGGCCACTGAACACCATAACAACCGTTTCCTCCCACAAGATGAGCATTTAAATCAGTTTAACTACCAGAGCAACTTGTTTGAACCAGTGTGTGTGCTTTAAACACTGTATATTACATACCTATTTATATTTCATCATTCATCCACCTCATCCCTCCAGTGCACTACTGTCCACCTACATGATGTATATGAAGTGTCAATAACGTGTATTTTGCTTGTAACTTTGATTTACTCACAACATGGTCTTTTACACATGTATAGTTGTAGATGGTAGTGACACACCTGTTGCTGCTGTTTGAATGCACAGTTTTTTGTGTGTGAATAATTAAAAAGCAAAGAAAACACCAGAGGATTTATACCCAATACTCAATAATTCATCCCTTTAAAGGGAGCTGAAGGAAAGTCAAGCTCTTTGGCTTACAGTATAATGACCAGTAATCAGATTAAAGTAACGTTAAAACTGACTGGACAGGTCAGATGACTTTCCTTTGAGGTTTCCCAACAGAACAGTTTCAGTAGATCACCTCTCTTTTCAAAAACTCTCTATCCGTACAGTCAGCGATGCAAAACCAATGTCTAAACTACAGTACTAGTGTTTCATTCCAGTCCAACCACAGCTGAACGATTTCTGTAGACACATGACATTTGGAAATTTGTTGGAATAGAGTTTCGACTTAATAAATACAAATAAAAATTAAAGGATTCAAATACAGTTTTTAATATATCAAATATTCACGCTAAGCAATACAAATTAAAATATAAATTGTTCAAATTCAGTTTATGGTCACACAAATTTCTGCCCATATCTCTATTTAATTAAAAAAAAAAAAAAAAAAACGGTTCAGTTTTGGGGAACTTCCTGCCGGCTGCTGGTGAGCTGCTTCCGTCCTGTGACATGACAGATGCTAATGGTATGCTAACTGCTAACGCTGAGCTAGCAGTCAGTTAGCACTGCCGTTAATTTTTAAACGAAGTCATGTAGACGGACGAGTAAATTATTTTCAGCTAAATCAAACTTTTGTTTTACATTTTTCCCGAACAGTTCTAATGTAGTTTGTGGCAGATGAAGCGGTTGGGTTTTAGCCTAGCTAACAGAGCTAACCAGCTGTACAGCATTAGCCTGATTAGCAAAAGTCAAGTTCATTGTAGCTGTGCTGTTCGGAGGCTGAAGGTGACTGGTTTTCATTTCACTTCTACTGTGTTTATTTATCTTAATTTAAAAGCGTTTAAAGCTTTCAGTCAGAAATATGTAGTTTAAAATAATAGAGGTAATGACAAATGCCCATTTAAAAGTGAACGCAGTCCGAAACCTAGCTAAGTTAGCTCGACCAGTAGTTAAGCTAACGTAGTAAATGACGTTTGTACTGATATGAAACTAAAGCCAACAGTTCACTTTTTTGAAGCTATGAGGAGTAAGTGGTGGTGTCTGAAACTGACAGAACTACTTAACTTTAAATTAAGTTTGAATTAAAAATAAACAAACCACCAGGCTCATTATCAAAACCACTGGTTAATACACAGTTTATACACGCGCCCGCGGGCGAATGCTCGCGGCAGAATCCTGCTCCTGCCGACCGTCTTTAGTGTTGTCAGGGATGCAGACTACTTCTATATGTGTTCTGTCTGATTTGAACCTATGTGACACCTAACTGCCCCGCTGTCGTGAACAATTACCCCATGGGATGACAACCAAGAAAGAAATTCCTGGAAAAAGAACGTGTTGCGCAGTCGTGTACTTCAGGTGCAGCTCGGAATGTTCAGTTTGTGGAGTACGGCGCGGCTTCATCATCATTGCAAATGCTGCTTAATATATAACTTGATACAAACACTTCCTGGATTGAGAATTGACATATATGATAATTGTGACGCAGTAGTTGTAACAGCAATGGGATCGGCACTCATTAGTAATAATGATTGTAATATTAGTAACGCTTAACCGAAAACATCACAAATGTTACGGTTTAACATTTGTGATGAGTTAAACGAGTTAAACAACGCGCATGTCAGTAGAAGCCTAATATGCACTACTGTTGTGTTTTAAGGTATTATCTGTCAGCACCTGACTACAGCTGCTTCGTCGCAATTGGCCGAGTTTCACCTTTACGTGACGTCCGTGAACTGGTCACTCAGGGGACTACGGCATGCCCGGGTGTACTTTCTGTCCCGGTGCGTTTCCGTCTATTAAACCGGAGGCTCTGAGCGACCGGTCGTCGCTCAGTAGCTATGGAGATGAAGAAGGCAGACGGCAGACACAATCCGCTGGCAACTGCCGGGATTCTCTCCCGGGTGTTTTTGTGGTAAGTGTCCGCCTTCACACCGGGGATCGCAGCGTGTTGTGACGGGGCGGCGTGTTGTCGCGCGCACTCTGACAAATCCAAACAGTGGCGCTTCGGGATGATCATTTAATAAAGGGGGCAGGCTCGGGAGAGTTGTTCTCCCTAAAGCAGCAAAGACAACAGGCAGTCAAGCTTTCAATTGATTATTATTATTTGTGTGTGTGTGTGTGTGTGTGTGTGTGTGTGTGTGTGTGTGTGTGTGTGTGTGTGTGTAAAGTATTTAAAGTAATCGGACACACACACATTAAACATGCTTGTAAATTAGTTGTCATTCTTTCAATAGCTTTACATTTAGAGTTATTTGTTGTCATAATATATTGGCTACTGTAACCTACAATTACAATTTCATCAAATTATTATGTTATAAATTACAGCAATCAAAACACAATTACACCAAGCTTCAGGTGAAGTCATGCCAAACTATTTGCTGCAGCAGCACCAAAGGGCTTTAATGAACATTTCATGTCCTGTTGTATCCTAGTGTGTCGTTTCCTTTGTGGAATTACTGATCAACAAAATAGTTCAGATTTAGCGCTTCGGCTGTCCTACGCTTAACACACAGTGCTCGGCTGGACGATTATTCATTCATTTGAAAACATGAGTGTTTATTTAGCCACCAAAAGTAAATATAACTTCACAGAGCAACTGGAAATAAATCAGTAACAAGGAAACACCAAGTAAAACAATAATAACAAGAAGAAAATAAAATACCAATAGCAATGTCTGTGAAGTTTCTCAGTCCTCCAGGTCGTGGTTATTCTCATGGATTAATCGTAGCAACTGGACTTGATTGAGTTTCTTCACCTCTCATCCAAGAGGCTTCATCAGTCCTGACTGACTAGTTCCAGATACTGATCTCCTTAAGGAGCCATGAACACCTGAGTTTTCCGTGTAAAAACAAGAAATTAAAATAAATAAATAGCCTGCTCCCAAACTTCTTAAACTTGCAGTTTTTGGCGAGGCACACTAGAACTTTAATGATGATTGCAGGCAGGAGACAACATTTCCACCTGTGCTAAACGCCCTCTCTGATGCTGCCCTTGTGGTGTTGATGCACAGCTATGTTTTGGCCAATTTGCAGCCAGTCTGCACATTTTTGCATCTTCTCCTCCATAGACCAGTTTATGAAGAAGCTTTAAATGCTTGTAGAAATTGGTGACAGCGTGACAAATCTTGCAAACAGTTTCCTTCTGCTCCACGTCCGAGAACTTGTGTGGTGTCTGAAGTTCCTCCTCGTGGGTTTATAATGTTAAGTTAGGAGTCCATAGGTCAAAGGTTTAGGTCAAAGGTGCTGCATGAAACGTGCCTCTTCGTCTCGAAGAATCCCCTCGTTGACCTGCAAGGTTGTTTTTGTGCACTAGGACCATGACGTCCCAACACATGGCTTATTTTTTCAGTAAGCCCCCTTGCGTCTAGCCTCCCAGCAGATTCAAAGTGGAGTAAACTCGTCTTTGTTGTTTTTTCTGTCTTTCTGTTCCGTCTGCCATGTTGCTCAAGACTTTGCTGCTTTGCAATCTGTTTGTAGTTTCAGTTTGAACCGTGCCTGCCGAAAAAATACAGAACCTCATTCAGAAGTCAAACTTTTTTTTGTCCCAGTCAGCAATTGTCTCTCAAACTGAAAAAAAAAATCCATATATTATTTGAATTTGCGATTGCTGGTCTTCCATTAGTTGCTGGAGCTTTCTGGTAGGCCCTCCATGTAATCATTACCTGCTTATGCTGCTAAGGTTTGGCACAGCTTGCAAGACTAACCTGTCTGTCGGTTGCCTTCCTCCAGTTTGATATACAACTGATGAGTCAGATTCTGGTTCTGTGGCACAACAGAAATGACAAGGTTAATGTTTACTTTGGAATTGCATAAATGTAAAATAGCATGATGTGATTTAGTACCTCAAGATCACTGTTTGGCTCCTTCACTAAAACAGTGTTGCTCAAGTAAATAGTCAAACCGTCCTTGTTTGAACTGCTGCTTTCAGTTGTACTGGCACTTTTGATCATAATTTTGCAGTAACTGTTGGTGACCCTTGTTGTCTTAATGACCTTCCTTCCTGTTGCTCCTTTTGCCCAACCAGCCCACCTCTGCAGGCTCAGATATGACATTCTGCCTCAGGTTTCATTTTGCCTCTTCATTTGCATTACAGGAATACATACAGCACGTAGCGTAGGAGAACTTTTCCTCAGTAAATGTAAAATTGTCTGTGTGGCAAAAGCAGGTGAGAAAATATCTTTTGGTTCCTTCGGAGGGGAGAGAAGATGTTGAAGCCTGATTCGGTTCATCTTGTCTACTCTGATTCTAGGTGTACGGTTTCTTTTTTTTATCAGACCATGAGTATTTTTAAGTAGGAGCTGTTTTTACCTTGAAATGTTTCGACTGTCACTTCAGTCTTGCTCAGAAACGTCACTGACGGTGACGTGTCTTTATCAGCTGGTGGTTTCCTGGAGGCGTGACCCGCCTGGCAATCTGTCAGATTTGCCCGACGGGCCACGCCTCCTTCTGGCCGGTGGTCTCTGCAGGAGAGCGTCCCATGTGTGGGACAGCATGATGCCCCCTCATCACGGTTCATGGTGTCTTTGGCTCACCTCCTAATTCCTATGGCCTCCTTGATCCAGCGTTTAAATTTGTTGCTCTCCAATGAGATGATCATTGCGACAATGCAAAGATCATCGCAAAAAATAAAAATGTAAAACAGTTAAACATTAAAAGCGATCTTGCAAAGGTGAGTTTTTAAAAGGGACTTGAATGTGTGGAGGTCACGGCAGTGCCGGATGGGAGATGGAAGGGAGTTCCAGAGGGTGGGAGCAGCAGCAGACAAGGCTCTGTCCCCCCAGGTTCGGTGCTTGGTCCTTGGTGGTGGGGCGAGGAATTGTTGTAACCGAATATGTACAGTAGAAATAGTAGCGATGACCCGATAACGCTCTCCTGTTGACTGTTGGATCCATTGAGCTCAATAACAGTTTGTCTCCTTCTGGTATTCTTCTCTGTTTCCTTCTTCTTTCTCTGGTTCGTCACTTTTATTGCCCACTAAGGCCCTGACCTTAAAGCATTGTTTATTGTTTTCCAGACACCATTTCAGGGTAATCCGGGGTTGCCTCCTAACTTAGCCACTGTGAAAGCAGCTGATATCCTGATTTATGCCGATGGCTGTGCCTCTTGTTCAGTTTTTGCAGATTGTGTCTCTGCTCAAGAGAGCGTCTGACAGCAACAGCATATTGTTAAAGGTAATCCTGCTTTGGAAAGATGTTGCAGTAGCCCGGGTTGTGTTAGCCGCAGGCAGAGTAGGCATGCTTACAGAAGACTGCTGCACTCGTGTCTGCTACCTAAAGTTCGAAACAAAGCTCCCCTTATGCATGAGAGCTTCTCCGCTCATCAATCACGCTGATCAGTGGCGGGCTGTAAACCGGCTTTTATTGTCTGGCTGTTAATTGTGACACTGAACAGCAAAAAAGATAGTTCTGTGGCCGGCGCATCGCTTGAGACCACATAATGACTGCAGACAAAGGGCTGGCTGCATCTAAACCAAAGTAGTGAATTTACCTGATGTGGCCATAATCGGTCTCCCCATTGGTCAGTCGGACCTGGAGAAGCCTCTTGAATGTGAGGTGAAATGTCTTTAAGAACCTTAAACAGAAGAAGTAGCCTTTTACTGAAGCTCCTAGGATTTTCTTCACACCAGCCTGATGAGCTTTCACACACAGAATTACAGTTTAAATTTTTTTAAATACCTGCAGCGTCAGGATTCATAGAGTTGTGCTTGGAACATCGTCAGGAACTTCTTAAATTGGTTATAATCATAAATGAACAATGACGTGGAGAGTAGATCAGTCACGACCTAGCACCAGGTTACACGATGTACTTTCCTTCACCTTACACGGGTCACCTTATCAGCTGCTGTTAAATCATTTGTTACACAGCAGCTGTCCTCAGCTTCATCACAGCTGTTGGGATGTATTCATCTGGCTGTTGGCAACGTAGCGGTAAACACACATGGACTGAATTTTCAGTGTTTAGGAAATCATAAATAAACTAGGCTGGAAGGTATTTGGACAGTTTATTTGAGATTTAGTCTGTTATTGCACTATTATGTAATATCTGTGAAGATGCTCAGTCATCCAGGTCGTGGTTGTTCTCGTACATTAATCGTAGCAGCTGGACTTGCTTGAGTTCCTTGAAGACGTTTCACCTCTCATCCAAGAGGCTTCATCAGTTCTGACGGACTAGTTGGGAGTTCCAGATACTGATATCCGTAAGGCGCCATTAACGCCCGAGTTTCTAGCCACAATATACCCTAACGAACCCCATTGTGTCAGGGGGAGCACTAACGACTCGCGTAACGAGGGGGAGGAGCAACAAACCCCCAATTGAAACTCAGGTGTTAATGGCTCCTGAAGGATATCAGTATCTGGAACTCCCAACTAGTCAACATTGCATGCATGTAGTGGCTTCCTCCATCACCACGGCGGGTATGTCAGAATGAAGCTGTGGGGGATATCAACAATAAGTGTCTAAGTGTCAGAATGCAGAAGTCCTTTCCATGGATTGACTGTTATGGATCCCACATCTGAAAAGGGCCCCCCTCTCTGTTTCAGCTGGCTGACCCCCTTGCTGCACCTCGGCCCCAAACGGAGGCTCGAGGAAAGTGACATGTTCGGTGTTCTTCCAGAGGATCGGTCTGAAACCCTGGGAAAGGAGCTGCAGAGGTACTCTATCGTTGTCATTTATGATTTGACCAAATGTCCAGTAAGACACAAATGGAAAGGTGTTGCTTATGCCTGATGACAGACTGCATCCATTATGATGTTTCCATGATAAATGATGCAGTCAGATTTTCTCAGGAATCAAGCTGATGTTTCTCTTTTTCTATGCATGTAAAGTTTGGTCGTTTTTGAAAGTGACTGCCATTCTGTTAAGCAGCCAGTATTTGTAGCATCAGTGTCCTGCCATTGTGGGTCCACACAGCTGTAATGTGGTGGTTTTGATTACACAATGGGCCACCATAGATTGTTTTCATGTTAATGCTACTAAATCCTAAATAATCTTGACTAATTCTCTCCTGCTTGTAGACACCCACTCTGTGTCTAAATTGACATAAAATAACATCTGCTTGAGTCACGTATGGAGTAATTGACATCATTTATGGTTTGTACTTTTAGCTCAATGTCATTTTGTACTTGGCAGAATTCTGCTGCTGCAAACACTGAACACGTTTGGTAAAAATCAGGATGGACTCAATAGGGAGTTCTCACCCTTTAGTCTTAGCAAACATATTTTTTTTCTGATTTAATGTCTTAACATTATGACAGGAGTTATGATTTGACGGTTATGATATGTTACAGCTGAACTGATGCACTTTTACGTGTTTGTATATGTAGGTTATGGGACCAAGAAGTTAGAAGGGCAACAAAGGAATCAGAGAAGCCAAAACTCTCCAGAGTTCTTATTAAGTGCTATGGAAAGTCCTATGCAGTGGCTGGGCTGTTTGTATTTTCACTTGTAAGTTTTGGCTATTTAAAGCTTTCTCTATATTTTGTCACAGTAATTGATTGTATTGAAATCATCAGAGATATGTTGGCATACCCAGAGATGTTGATCTTGTTCATCTT